GCAGTCCTTGCCTGGCACAGAGTAAGTGCTCAGGTAAAGCTTGCAATTAGCAATTTACAAAATCCCAGCACTCTGGGAGGCTGAGGCAGGAAGATTGCAAGTTCTAGCCAAACCTGGGCAATTTAGTGACTTAGCAAGACTCTGTCTCAAAATAAAAAATAAAAAGGATTCGAGATGCCAGGTGTGGTGGCACTCACCCGTAATTTCGGCACTCAGGAGGCTGAGGCAGGAGTATTGCCACAAATTCAAAGCCAGCCTGGGCTACTTTAGTGAGTTCAGGGCCAGCCTAAATTACAGAGTAAGACCTTGTCTCAAAAAAAGGGGGAGGAGGCTGGGTTGTAATTTACTGTAAAGGCCCCGAGTTCAGTCCCCAGTACCACAAAGAAAAAAATTACATACATCACATTAACATTGCATTTATATAAAACTAATATAAACTGATCTATAATGACAGGGCATAAAGTCAGTGATGCCCTGACTCCAGGAGTGGCGAGGAAGGAAATTTGGGAAATGATACATATACTCACCATCTTTTTAAAAAAGTGAATCCTGGCCTGGGGCGTAGCTCACTGGCAAGCAAGTTAGAGAGTCTCTGGCTTGAATGTTTGTATATGTGTACTTCATCATAAATCATCAAGAATCCCCTCACTAGGGCTTTAAAAAAATTCACATACTCATTGGCACAGCAATCTGAATTCTCAGGCTCTACACTACAGAAATAAAACCACAAGTTCATCTGGGAGTCAGGAAACTTTATGTAAAAAGAGTAAATATTTGCCGCTTTGCACCCTCTGTGGTCTCTGTCATGACTCAACTCTGTCACTGTGGCTTTGAAGGAAGCATGGACTTATCTGTAAACCAATGTGCATGGCTGAGTTCCAATAAAACTTTATTAATAAAAATAACCCGAGGGCCAGATGTGCTCTCCCTGGATACACGAGTCTTGTTTCCCTCTATCTGAGTGGGGCGATGTGGATCAGATCAGGGACAACCTATCTGTCCATAAGGAAGTAGCTGAGTGATCTATAATAAGTCCACACTGTAAAAGTCAATGTGGTTATTTAAAAAGACAGTTTTGTCCTTATGTGTTAACATGAAAAACCATACGTGATAGGGTTTTTAAAAAATCATCTTACTCTGGAAATTTAAGCATATACAAAATAAGAATGGGACAAAACTTACAGTGAGCACACAAATACCTCCTACATTATTGTTCTTAGCTGGGCACAGTGTGCTTTGTGTGTAATCTAGATGTATCTGTAATCCTGGCATTCTGGGAGGATGAGGCAGTCGGGTCCCAAATTTGAGCACAGCTTAGGCAATTTAGTTAAATTCTGTATCAAAATAAAAGACAAAATGGGCAGAGCTAAGTAAAAATTTTCCCCCTTTAATCCCAGCACTTGGGAGGCTGAGGCAGGAGGATTGTTGTGAGTTTGAGTCCAGTCTAGACTACAAAGTGAGCTCAAGCCTGAACTGCATAGTGAGACCCTGTCTCAAAAAGAAAAACAAAGTGGGGGGGGGGCGGACGGACAAGGGTGTAGCTCAGTACAAAGGCCCTGTGTTCAATCCCTTGTACTAAAAAAGTAAATAAATGAATAAATAAATATTTGTAGAAACTACTATCTAATTTGGTAATCCTGATGATAGGATCCAAAGCCTTGGGCATGCACAGCAAGCACCCCACTGTCAATAGGTTCCCCTCCCCCATTATTATTTTTCTCACACAGCCATGCAACTATCCACAATGGAAATTTAGGGCAAGAAAATTGAGACACAATGAACACACAGCATCAATCTTTTTTTTGGAGACAAGGTTTGCCTTGCAGTCTAGGCTGGCCTCAAACTCGCAGCGACCCCCCTACCTTCGCCTCAAAAGTGCCGGGATTACAGACATTCACCACCACACCCAGCATATCCATTTTAACAAGAGAAAGAAAAGATAAGGATTGCACTCTCTGGGTACGTGTGTTCATAAAGTCTAGCAAAAAGTATCCAGAGAGACTCGGACTCAATATGGGTTATCACAGGGCAAGGACCAGAACAGGGAAGAGTTGATTCTTTTATTTCCGCGCTCGCCTTTAACATCGAGTTCCTGTGAAAATTGTCAAAGCTCTTTGTAATGAGTTTTTAGAGCACTTCTTTGGCAAGCATGACCCAAATAGTGTAGTTCAGGCCTTGACATCCTCATAGAAGAAAATTGAGTCAGAAGGAGACATTCAAGTTGCAGAAGGTGGGTACATTCCCTGAGCCCCATCTGGGGGTCCTGCCCAGGACCACCCAGCTGTGTACAGGGGTAACCTGAGGCACCTGAGGGCACAAACACAGCGCCACACACATGTGCTGCTGTCTGTCCCCATGGCACACCCTCAGCTTCATGTCGGCCCCTGCCCAGGAAAGCAGTGTGTGGCAAACCTGCCAGGTCCCTGTCCCACCAACAGCCCCTCCTGAGGGGTGTCCTGGGCACGTTGTGGAGCTGCACGGGGGTTCTCCTGGTCCCTGCTCATTCGCTTGGGCATCTCTGTCACCCAAGGGCAATGTCGACCTCACCTGAAGCATCTGTAGCCCCTCCTCATTCTAGCATTCTTTTCCATAGCAGTCATTTATGAGTGCCAGCTTCAAGCGTGATGCCAAGACGCCAAGGGGCACCTGACCTATAGGAGCCCCTAGTTTGTAGGGAGGCAGGCATAGGAGCAATGTGGTGGCTCTGAGGCACCAAGGTGGCATCAGGGCCAGCAGGGCTTAGGGTGGCCAGGATGGCCTTGGAGGGGGCACCATCAGAGCTGAGGGAGGAAGGGGAGGCAGGGCTTACCCTGGGGGTGTCCGGCATGTCGTGAGTGATGGCCACACTCCTGAAGGACCTCCAGGAGGGCCAGGCTGGGACACAGATCACGATGTCCCTTCCCCAGACATGGCCCCCAGGGAAGGGAGGCATCGGCCCAGGGGGAGGGGCTGGGCGGGGCTCGGCCCAGGGGAGCAGGAGCGGGGATGGGCATTGCTGGTGATCTCCCTCCTCCATCCCCAGCCCTCCTCATAGTCTCCCTTTCAGTCAGAGCTTAGGGCATTGTTCTGCCTTTGTAAAGAGTGGGATCAAGTGACAAAGCCGGGTGGGTGGGCAAGCAGCCCAAGAGGCCTCTTCTCTCCGGGGCAGCATCTGCATGGAGCTAGGGCTGGTCCACACCCCCCACCTCTGGCTTCCCAGGAGCTAGCTGTTGCCATGGTGACAGACCTGGCATCCCACAGCCCTTGGGGCACCCTCCCCACCATTGCTGCCAGACAAGGGCCCAGACTCCTCTCTACAAAACAAGACTCCTAGGCCAGGCTGCAGTGGACATCCCCACCAGAAGGACAGCTCCAGAGCCCCCTGCATGGACTTGGTGACCGGTCCAGGAGGCAGAGCTGGGCTTCTCCCTGGTCCATGCCCCACACCTCCTGGACTGCTAGCAGGGAAAGGATGTGGTCCATGGCCCTGGGCAGCTGCTGGTACCACAGGGGAGGGAGCCATGGGGACCTGTTGCTGCCATGTGAGGAACCTCCCAAGGGTTCCCCACCCCTGCCTCCCTCCTTAGGAAGTTCAAGGTCTTCCTTGCACCTGTGCTTCTTGTGGCTTACAGCGTGCTGAGAGCCTACTGGGCGCTGGGCACAGGGCTGGCATCTTCTCCCCATCTCTTGGCTTCCAGTCTGTAAGGCCCTCTGGGAACGAGAGGGGCTGGGTGCATGCCAGGGGCAGCATATGCCTTTCTTTGTCCCTTCTTGGCTCTAGTGTGGGGTTCAGGGGAGCGAGCACTAGTAACAGGCATGTGCAGGAAGCCACGGCCCCATTTTCTCACCATCGTCGCCCAGCTCCTTCCTGCATCCCTGGCCTGTGCTGGCAGGTGTGCTGCGCAGGTGACTTTCCTCTGGTGATGTCAACAGGCAGCTTCGTGCAGGGGAGGAGCCTGATTGTCAGCCCTTACCGTGGTGAGCTGTGCAGTCTTGAGTAAATTCTCTGAGTGCTCTGAGTCTCAGTTTCTCAGCTATCGAAGGGCACAGGTTTCCTTGTAGGCCTGTCAAAAAGGTCACTGTCAAGGTGGTGGGAGTTTCCCAGGGTCCCTGCAATCCTAGGTCACTGGCTCATTCTGTAACCAACCAGGGGCAACTTCTAGCATGACTGGCCCTGGGCTGAGCTCTCATGTGGAATCTGAGTCTGTGCTTTAGGGATCCCCAGGCCAAGGAGGTGAGGACAGAAGGGACATGGGGCAGTCTCTAAATGGTTGCCTGGGTGGCCAGCGGTAGCACTTGGATTTCACATACGGAGGTACCCGGGAACCACGGCGGATTCTAAGCAGGTCCTGGAGGCCTCAAGGGGCATCCTGGGATGGGTGGCAGGGATATAACACTCCTCTGGAGGGGCTCAAGAAATGAGTATGGGGTCCAGCATCAGACAATAACAAAAGAGACACTTAATAGCTCTATGCCCTTCCCCTTAGTAACTCATTCCTCTCTGAGCCTCAATTTTCCCCCTTGGGAAATGGGAATAACATTCCTGGTCTGCTGCGGAGATGCCATGAGGTCAGGTCTACAGTACAATGCTTTGGCAGAGTGAGCAAAGAAAACAGGCTCAGACAAGGGAGCCAAACTCACATACAACCAGCAGAGGCAGAGACAGAGACTGCTGTCAGCCAGCGCTGAGCATAAAGCCGCGGCTTCTCCAAGCCTGGAGGCCTTGGGCACATTTTGCCCACCTGAAAAGAGGCGACCAGTATGTGGGTATAGGCAACAGTATCTTTCTACCGCCAGTTCTGTCGCGGGAAGACATTGGGCCGCAACAGAAAAGAAAGAACCAAATGAGAAGGAAAGCAGACGGCGCAGAAGATGTCACTCATCTAATACCACTACCGGGACCCATTGGGTACCCCTGTGCGGCTTCGAGACGCGGCGCCTTTAAAGCCCAGAGGGGGCGTGATCGGCACGCTAATCCCCGCCTCCTGGGCGTGGCCTCCAAAAGTCCCGCCCCGATCCTGTAGCCGCGGCCCCTCTGAGAGCGCAGCGGCACCCGGCTCGGCGGTGACTCGGGTGGCAGCGGTCGGCGGGCTCGGCGTCTCCCGTTCCCCCGGGCCGACTGTCGGGACACACGTGGGCGGCGGCGATGGCCCGCGCCCCGCGACGTGGCAGGCAGGCACGGGGGCGCGGGACGGCGCGGCCCAAGTGAGCCCGGGCCGCACTCCCGCCCTCGGCCCGGGATGGCCGTGTGGCTGCCGCTGCGCCGGGCGCTGTTGCTGTGGCAGCTACTGGCGACGGGCGGCGCGGCGCTGGAGATCGGCCGCTTCGACCCGGAGCGCGGGCGCGGGTCGGCGCCGTGCCAGGCCGTGGAGATTCCCATGTGCCGCGGCATCGGCTACAACCTGACCCGCATGCCCAACCTGCTGGGCCACACATCGCAGGGCGAGGCGGCCGCCGAGCTGGCCGAGTTCGCGCCGCTCGTGCAGTACGGCTGCCACAGCCACCTGCGCTTCTTCCTGTGCTCGCTCTACGCGCCCATGTGCACCGACCAGGTCTCGACGCCCATCCCCGCCTGCCGGCCCATGTGCGAGCAGGCCCGGCTGCGCTGCGCGCCCATCATGCAGCACTTCAACTTCGGCTGGCCGGACTCGCTCGATTGCGCGCGGCTGCCCACGCGCAACGACCCGCACGCGCTCTGCATGGAGGCGCCCGAGAACGCCACGGCCGGCCCCGCCGAGCCCCACAAGGGGCTGGGCATGCTACCCGTGGCGCCCCGACCTGCGCGGCCCCCGGGAGACGCAGCTCCAGGCCCAGGCGGCGGCGGCGGTGGCGGCGGTGCCTGCGAGAACCCCGAGAAGTTCCAGTACGTGGAGAAAAGCCGCTCGTGCGCGCCGCGCTGCGGGCACGGCGTCGAGGTCTACTGGTCCCAGCGCGACAAGGACTTCGCGCTCATCTGGATGGCAGTGTGGTCGGCGCTGTGCTTCTTTTCCACGGCTTTCACCGTGCTCACCTTCCTGCTGGAGCCTCACCGCTTCCAGTACCCCGAGCGCCCCATCATCTTCCTCTCCATGTGCTACAACGTGTACTCGCTGGCCTTCCTCATCCGCGCTGTGGCGGGTGCACAGAGCGTGGCCTGCGACCAGGAGGCGGGTGCGCTTTACGTGATCCAGGAGGGGCTGGAGAACACGGGCTGCACACTCGTCTTCCTGCTGCTCTACTACTTCGGCATGGCCAGCTCACTCTGGTGGGTGGTCCTCACGCTCACCTGGTTCCTGGCAGCCGGCAAGAAGTGGGGCCACGAGGCCATCGAAGCCCATGGCAGCTATTTCCACATGGCAGCCTGGGGGCTGCCGGCGCTCAAGACTATCGTTGTCCTGACTCTGCGCAAGGTGGCAGGAGATGAGCTGACTGGGCTCTGCTATGTGGCCAGCATGGATGCGGCCGCACTCACTGGCTTCGTGCTGGTTCCCCTCTCCTGCTACCTGGTGCTGGGCACCAGCTTCCTCCTGACAGGTTTCGTGGCACTCTTCCACATCCGCAAGATCATGAAGACGGGTGGCACCAACACGGAAAAGCTGGAGAAGCTCATGGTGAAAATTGGGGTCTTCTCCATCCTTTACACGGTGCCTGCCACCTGCGTCATTGTCTGCTATGTCTACGAACGCCTCAACATGGACTTCTGGCGCCTTCGGGCCACAGAGCAGCCATGCACAGTGGCCACTGTGCCTGGAGGCCGCAGAGACTGCTCGCTGCCAGGGGGTTCCGTGCCCACTGTGGCTGTCTTTATGCTCAAAATCTTCATGTCACTGGTAGTGGGCATCACCAGCGGTGTCTGGGTGTGGAGCTCCAAGACTTTCCAGACCTGGCAGAGCCTGTGCCACCGCAAGATGGCTGCTGGCCGGGCCCGGGCCAAGGCCTGCCGGGCCCCCATGGGCTACGGCCGTGGCACCCACTGCCACTACAAGGCCCCCACGGTGGTCTTGCACATGACTAAGATGGATCCTTCTCTGGAGAACCCCACACACCTCTAGCAACAGGCCTGGCTCGGTGGTGGCTTCCTTCTCGTGGCTCTCCTCTCCCACCCCCCAGAGACAGCTGACTAGCAGCTGTCCAGCTGTCAAGGCCAGGCAAGTGAGCGGGAAGGGCTGAGGTTCAGGGTGGGGATCTAGTGAGGCTCATGGCCCTGTGTGCCCTAATGCAGGGGGGGGGCTGCTACCTGAGTCCCCAGAGGGTTCTAGGAGAGAATGTGGAGGGGAGGAGGGGGCAAGAGGGCATAGTCCAGCAGGGAGTTTATTTAATGATGTAATTTATTGTTGCGTTCTCTGGAAGCTGTGACTGGAATAAACCCCCCACCCCGCTGTGTGGCACTGTGGACTTCTCTCTGGGCTGGAATGGGAGTAGGTAAGGGCAGTGAGAGTCTTGCAGGAAGCTCCCTGTGAGTGCTGAGCTGGCCGGAGTGCTGGGCTGACCCCAGACCCCTGACCTGTGGCTCCACACCAATCAGGAGGAAGTTCCCCTGAGGAACAGCTGTACCTTTCAAGTCCCAGTCTGTGTGTGTGTGCATCTTTGTGTGTAGCCCTGTCTTTGGGACCTGAGTAGCATGTCTCTGAAGTGGGACTGGGATGCCTGCCAGGACACTGAGGGAATCCCCAGGGATGAACACTGCCACCTCTGACCCTGGGATGTCTAGCCAGTTTGGGGCCATGGGTAAGTTTTCCCTTTCTCACAGTTTGCTTTCCTCATTTGTGTAGAAAATGAGGGCGTCAACCTGTCTCCAACTTGTCTCAAAGCTCCCCTTCCCTGGGGACTAAGGCTGGAGGATGACTGTCCCCATGAAGGTGGCCGGTGTGTCCACTTCGCTCCTCAGGTCCTCCCATCCCATGCTGGAGGGGAAGATGAGGCCAGACTGGCAGGGGGGCATCCGGAAAGGGGAAGTCTGGAGTTTAGGAATTGGGCCCCAGCTTGTATGTGGCAGGATTTGAAGGGTTGGCAGCAGCTGTGAGAAGGGGGCAGCGCTCCACACCAGGACAGCTTGCACATTTGTGTGTTAGGGTAGGGAAAGGAACCGAGAGTGTCCATGTCTTGGATAAGGAAGCTCAGAGATGATGGGACTTACCTGCCTCACCTCTGTCCCCTTGGAAGGCAAGTAGGTATGCATGAGCCTCCCAGAGGCCTCTTGTCAATTGAGGGTCAGGCCCCAGGGCTGTCTTAGCATCTGCTTTATCAGCTGGCTCTGGACCAGGTGAGGTCTCGGTGACCGTCCCTGGGTGTGTACAACACAACCAGCCTTCAGCTTCAAGAGATGCAAAGGGCCCAGTCCTGCTTCCAGCCCCCTTTAGAGCCAAGAGGAGACCCAGTCTGGGGAGTTCCGTGCCTACATTGCCTGCTTCCTGGCAGAAGCACTGAATCCCCAAGTGCAGGGCCTCTCAACTGCTTTGCCCTGTGCTGGCAGCCACAGGGACAAGGAGGGACAAGGAGGTCCAAAGAGAAGCCAACAGGCGGGATGAAGTTTGCGGACAGATCATGGAGCTTTAAGGCTCATCCCCACCTGGAGGAGCAGGACTGACTTCATCCCCAGGGGAACTGCAATTGTGACCCCATCTCCCCCACCTATGCAGGGTTCTTGCACAGGGAACACCCTCATCTCACCCTCTCTCCTCGCAGAGCACCGATGTCCATGCCCTTGACCAACAAAGCCGAGTGAGTGAACCACGCTCCTTGTGATGCCCCCATGAGCGCAAGGGTCTGTGAGCAGGAGAGCTAAGGAGCTCCCTGGGGGTAAGGAGCCTGCAGGGAGAGTGGGACAGGCTGCCCTGTGGGAACAGGGCTCGGTGACCTGGAGGAGAAAGGCAAGTGGCCCTGGGGACCAGCATCAAAAGGGCACCACAAGCACCCTCTTCCCTCCAATGGCCACTCAGTGGGAACAAGCCTGGCAGAGACCTGCAGGGTGACAGGGAGAAGAGATGGAGGGTACAGAGGGCATCGGTGCAGATCACAAAGCCAGGTCCCAAGGGACTCTGCTTTGGGCTGTGGTGGGCAGGGCAGGAGGGCAGCTGAGGCTGCCTCTCAGCCCTGGAAGCTACCAGGGTTCATTCCCACTGGAGCAGGACTGACCTGATCCCCAGGGGAACTGGGGTCCCAGACCCCAGAGGAAAAAGAAGGAAGTACAGGTTCTAGTAACCCTTGCCAGGTCTTTACCTGGATGGTACTCTCCCCAGTTTACAGACTCCAAGTACCTAGGGCTTGGCTGGCTCAAAATCAGCCACTGTGAGAGGCCACACTAGGTGGTAAAACTCCAAAACCTGTTGATTTCTGCATAGGTTCCATCTAGTCCTGTATGAGGGACAGGTGTGTAGCTTAGGGAGGCCATGTCCAGAGTGGTGCAAGGGGTGAGTGGGGAGACAAACTCTCTTCCAAAAGGAACATTTCCGAGCCAAGCTAAGATACCTCAGAAACCAGCCTCTCAAGATTTAGCTCAGCGGCATAAGCGCCTGCCTTGCAAGCAGGCAGTCGTGAGTTCGATCCCTGGTACCAATAAAAAGGAAAAAGACAAAAAAAAAAAAAAAAAAAAAAAAAAAAAGAAACCAGCCTCTCCCCACTCCAGTCCTGGTCCTGTGGGGGTAAGCTTGTGTATGTGAAGCTGGGTTAACAGCATCCCAGGCCTGCTTCTGTCTCTACCAGGGTATGGGGTGAGGCCCTATGCAGGAGTGGTGCCCTGAAGGAAGCAGTCTCATGAAAAAGCCATAGGGCCAGAGGAAAGAGGACAGGGCATCAGGACTCGGCCGGTTGTTTGGGGGCCTTCCTCTTTGGGGCTGCTTCAGAATCCAGATACCCCCCTCTCCAGAAAGGTGAGGATAAAGCAAAGGATAAGGTGCACAGGTCTCAGATGACTCCCCCAGGCAGGGTTCAGACCCATCCTCTGGAATACAGGTGTCAGACCGACACTTGCGGTGATCACTTGGTAATCATTTCCCTCAAGGTTTCAGCCCTGGGAAGGGAGCGGGCAGGGGACGGAGATGTGCCTGGATGTTGAGCCCCACCAGGACACAGACCCTGGAGCAGGACCTGGCTCACAGGCACTAGCAATCCAAGGAGGAACAGGACTTCTCAGGCAAAGCTGGGAGTGCTGAGTGCCACCCAGTGTCTAAAGTATGCTGAGGCGTGGTGGTGCACACCTGCAATCCCAGCATGTGGAGGCCGAGTGAGGCAGGAGGCTTGTGAGTTCAAGGCCAGCCTAGGCAAGCTGCTAAGATGTCTCAGCACAGGTATCTCCTGCAGAGCTGGAGGCTGGAGCCAACAAACTGGTGGCAGCCAGTCTCATGATGCTGGGGAACCTGCTCCCCGCCAAGGACTGAGAATCTCTTAAGAGCTTGGTGCGAGCCCTATCTGAGGGCCACACTCATGGAGGTCATGAAGCCAGTGCAGAGCTTGCACCAGGGCACCACTGCTTTTCTTGTGACCCCAGCTCAGGGGTCAGGATGGGAAGCTCTGCTTGGTAAATGGCATCGAAGCAGTAGCTCAGCAAAATCTTTGTATTCCACAGACAGGCTGCTGCCCTGCAGCGACCTACTCAAATCAATCTGACTTTAAAAAATAAATGAGTATAAATAAAACAAGAGTGGCCATGTGTTAGAACTGTGCAAGCCGAGCACATGGGAATTCATTATACTTCTCACTTTCCCTGTATGCTTGCAATTTTCCTTGAAAAATGTTTTCCAGTGTCAGGAGTTTCCCAATATTAAAAGACCATACAAATTCCCATAGTGAAGCCTTCAACAATACCTTCCGCCTAGTTCCAGGTGAAATTTGGGGCTTTAGACAGAAACAAGGTCAGGAAAAGCTTGATGGCAATGGCCCATTTACCCAGGTGGGCTTTGCTTTCCCTCAGGCCCAAGTGATACAGTGGGCGCGGCCAAGCCATCCAATGGTCCTGCTGCACATCTGCCACCACCCCAGGACACAAAGAAAGCCACCACATTTGTTTCTTTATAAACACAGGTACATAATGTTTATTTGAAGCCCCAGTTTATTACAAGTTCACCCTTTAATAGGGCCCTTCCTCCTTAAAGACAATTTAAAAACCAACCAACAATGCAGGTGTCACTGAGGTGGGAACACAAGATTCTCACTAGAACAAGGACAGACTGGACCTATGACAAGAAGCAAGGGACGGCTGTGTTGGCTAGAAGGTCACTGCTCGCTCCAAGCCTGCAGAAGGGATGGGACCCCACCCACCAGCCACTGGAGAGAACCCCCGCACCCCCTGGTAGGGAGGTGGGAGAGCCAGGCTCCCACCTGAGCGGCTTTCAAAGGCTTTCTTCATCTCAGTCCGAGGGTGGCGAACCCTATGGGCTAAAGAGCTGAGGTGCTCACATTTTCCAAATTCAAAGTTGATAAGAAAATTAAACCCTGTCTTATACTTTTATCAAAAATCTGTCATAAAAGGGAAAGACTACAAACTTTTGCCTAAATGTAATACCTAGGCTAGACTGGCGCTGAGAAGGCGCTCCAAGCTGTTTGCCGCCTCTCTCCACCCACTGAGATGCACAGGTTGCATGAGCTCCAGTCTGAAGCTGGTGTGAGGACTCGGGAGGCAAACCAGAGGCCGAGGGCCCACAGCACCACCAGACCTGGCACCTGCCTGCACGGCCTCCGACCCGGGTTCTCCGAAGGAGCATGGCTGGCTGAGGCAGGACGGGGTGTAAAGCGAACACATCATCATATAAATTGTACTGTACATGTGCCAAAGCAAGATGACAAATATTTTACAAGATGTTCTTTATACAGTATCACTGCTAAAACAAGCAACTTTTAATAACTAGAAAAGTCAATTTAAAAAATTAAACATTACAGTCTTCCTGCTCCTCTTCTGCTCCCTAAGAGCTTGTCTGGTATGTGGGTGGGCTGGGCTCCAACACCCTCTGGCCAGATCCACCAAAGTAAAGGTTATAAGCATGATTACAAGCAGGACTCCAGTCTCTAGTGAAGTGCCTTAAGTTTTTTGTTTCTTTTTCTGAGGGGGTGAGGTGAGGTGGAAGTAGGAGTGGGCTGTCACAAAGGGGGAGGGGGTATGCAGGAATGATTCCAGGGAATGTCCCTTTACTCTGCCAAGCTCAAAAGACCAAAACTGTCCCATGATGCTGGTGAACAGAGTTCTACATGGCACTCACTGATACAGTCACCTGAGGGGGGAAGGTGTAAGAGACAGTATGGGTTTAAGGAAACAAGATAGTGTATAAATATAGATTAAAAAGAAAATCCCACCTCCCCAGTTGGCCTGGTTCCTCTTGATCCTGCTATGTAACAATCACCCCTCCCCACAGGTCACAGGGGCATGGTGCTGCTGTGGGAGCCAGCCTGGGAGGAACCTCAGGAAGGAAGAAAGAAAAAGGAACAGAGTTCCCAGGAGGTGCCGGCCTGGCCTCCTCCTAGAGACTCCCAGAAAGCAGATTAAGGCCCTCTATTGTCCCGAATAGTCCTCGGCATAGACTAAACTCAGTATTGGCCTCCCCAAGAGTTCTGCTTGAGTAAGGGCCTGCAGGGAGTTGGAGAAGAACAGCCCAGACCCGGAGTGGCAAGCACTTGCATGATTGCTTCCCTTTCGAGTTCTTCTCCAGCTTCCTCTCCTATCCCCAGCAGTCTCCCACTGTCCCCCACCTCCCTTACCACAACCCCTGCGTCTCTATTTCTTCTGTCTTCGTCCCCTAGACTGTCCAACGGGCTCTGGGTCACTGTCCCCTTCATCATCAGCAAGCTGATCAGGAAACTTCTTGCGTTTCCTGCGGACATACGGGTGGCCAGGAAGGTGTTTATGCAGCAGAGCCACCAGACACTGTTCTGTCTTCACAGTGCAGTTCAGAACGTGGCTGCCACGGCAGTTGTAAAGCTCAGCATTGGTAAACACTTGCTTCATGTCAGTGAGAAACTCCTGCACGGAGCGGTAGTTCCCACAGGAACACTTGTTCTGCATTGTCTGGAAGTCCATAGGGTGGCTGATCACATCGTAGTAGTCCTCGGCCTCATCTCTGGTCACGGGCTCCCTGCAAAGAACCAAATGGAGACGTCTGCAAGGTCCTGAATGCAACTCAGAGAAACTGTGGTATCAAGTGACCAGCGCCAGAAGGCCCACACCTGAAGGTATCTGCCACCTGGGGGACAGAGGTATGTCCATCTCATAAAAATTGTTCCTCCCTCCCAACATGAAAGAGTTCATCTCTCTGCCACCAAGACATGTCCTAGAGGGGAGGGGCCCAGGGCAGTGCCAGTGCCTGCCCAGCACACCTGAAGGGCCAGCTGAAGCGGTACTTGATGATCTTGTGCAGGATCTCCTCACACTTCTGCAGCTCCAGGCTTTGCCTCCTGGAGCTGCGCTTGGTCTGAAGCACCTAACAAAAAGGAAGAAGAATCTTATCTATCACAGGTCCCAGAGCAGAGCAGGAGTACACAGAGCAGGAAAGGTGTACCTCTGCTTTAGAAAGAAACCAGAGGTCAACCACTTCCTTGGAGCAGAGATATCAAAATCATCTGACGCTCAAGTCAGGCAGCACTCTCAGCCAAGAGGCAGGCGTCGTCCATCCACCTCGTCTGCCTCCTCCCTGGTGGACGGGGATCAAAGCGGCAGGAGGCAGGCAGCAGTTGGTGTATTAACAGCAGAAGTGCTGGAGGTGGCAAGAGAGGGCCACTGTCAACAAGACACTAGCCCTCTTGACAGCAGATGGACCTGGGATTATGGCAATACCATGGATGGGTATAAATAAACAACTGGAAAAGGCCAGGCGGGTTATTTTGTGGGAAGAGGCCTCTCTGGGAAGAAAAGCAAAAGGTCTCATTCCCGTTCCTTTTCACGGCAATCACTTGGGAGGAGAAGAAAGAAGTGAGGCCTCCCTTCCTGGCAGCCATCACCAGCTGGGACCCTCAGTACTGAAGGGCTAAAGGATGGGCCCAGGAGATCTTTAATGCCCTTTGATCTCCCTAACCGCTTGCTTTACTCCTTTAACCTCAATTTGATCTGTCAAAATAAGCAAGTTTACAAGAGCTTCTTTTTGTTCTTCAAAGCTCAAGTGAGATCTAAAACAAAACTACTAACATTACATTGGCTGAGGTGCAGAGGGGAGGGGCATGTCCCTCCCCTAACAACTGTCGGCAAAAGACCCAACAGTAAGTGAGGCTCCAACATTGCTGACATTCCCACAGGGAGACCCAGCCCCTCTGGGCCCACCAGAGACACATGGATACTATTTTAAAATCCTTAACAAGTTTCAAGCTGCTGCTAACTAGCACAGACAGTTTGCAGGCCACACAGCAGGGGAATGCCGGACATAGCTGTTCCTGGAGGGCCTATTGCCTCCGTCTGCCCAGAGTCCACTCATCTGCCTCATCAGTCCCCTGGCTGGGGGAGCGAGGGGAGGGATGGCTCCCCACCTGTTGTCTGGTGAATTCCTGGTGGTGGGGTGGCAAATACAACAGAAAGGCTAGAGGGAGGACAACAAGTGACTTTTACCAGCTCATCCACTTCAGCATCATCCACAAGGGACGCCTTCTGCCGTGACCTCCTGGTAGGATGTGGCTTCTTCCCTGGTCGTCGCCCTGGTCTAGATGCAGGTGGGATGACAATCTGCTTGCCCCGTATGATCTTTCTGGGTCTCACTGAAATAAAAAATATGTATTCAGAGTACAGCAACAGAAGAGGAAGAGCACACAGGTGAATATCAAGAAGGGATGCGATCACTCTAACAGACTAGGCAGCAGCTTCCTTTGGTTATAGGGTACTCCTGCTGTTCTCTGGTCCTCCCAAACAGTACACTAAGAGATAGCAATGCAGTGAAGAATGTGTGGCCTTCCTCAACTTCCCAACACCTTTCAGAGGACCAGGTTCCCAAGTACTTCTACCCTGGTCCGTTACTGCAAACAATGCCCCTACAGGAGTCAACCACACCCTGACGCACTCAGGAGAAAAAAGTGCTTCCTAACAAGGCAAGCTGGGTCTCCTCTAAGCAGAGCTCAGCATTTATACGTGAGACGAAATCTGATCGTAAAACTGACTCCATCTCACAACCCCCAAGTTATCCTACATGCAGCATTAATCCAAACAGAACAAAACATACACAGGAACCTTTCTTAAAGTCTTTTCAGAGAAAAAGTGACTTACATGAAAGGCCAAATCTTTCTCACTGAATTCAATTCAGGGTTGACCTCAGCCCTGCCTTCTTTCCTTCATTTCTAAAAACCAGACAGTGGGTAAGCCACTTCCCTAAGGGCCCTGCACAGTGCTGCACAAAGAGTTGAGTATGAGCGCAATGAGCCCACATGTGGCTCCAGTTTACAATAGGTGCTGCATGTCAAGCCCACCAACGACCCTCTGTCCTCTCTGGGGAACAAGACCCATGCAGCTGCACTTGGAGCTTTTCCACTAAGCCAACTAAGGATGTCCTCTCCACTATCTAGAATTTCAGCAAGGAAAGGCTGAGGACTTATGGGCAAAGATGGGGTCGAGACAGGCAGTTGAGTGACACAGAGAACCAATATGCAATACTTTCACTCTGTTTCTAACCGTCGTAACCCTTTACTGCCTGTTCTGGGGCCTCTGGCTCAAGATCAGACTAGTAAGAAAGGAGAAGAGCGAAAGAAGCCAAGGCTCAGATGCTAGGGCCTTGAAGTACCCAATACTTCCTAGATCCTTTTGGCAGTCTCTAGAACACTAAAGAACAGTTCCTTGGGAAAAGCAACGATGGGGAAGCAGAAAGTAGTCAACGGTCTGAACAAAGAACCAAAACAATGCTATATTCAGAATTGGTTCTCAGTCAAACATGCAGCATCTTGACTCTTATCCTTGTCCATCAGAAGGACAGTCTCCTCACAATGCAGGATTAAGGCACCACCAGTCCACTAGTTTCCTGAAAGTCACGTCTAATAAACAAACAAAAGGGGCTCCTTAAGAACAGAAGGTGTGGTTGCGTGTGGTGGAACTTGTTTGTAATCCTAGAGCTCAGGACATGAGGCAGAAGGCTGCAAGGCAACTTGGGCTACGCAGTGAGATCCTGTCACAGACAGTCAAACAGACACACAGACAGAATTGGAGGTATGATTGGGTACCTCCTGAATATGGGGGAGGAAAAGAACAAATGTGCAAGCCCAGCACCCTTGGCTTCTGTTCGTACCACTGCAATATAAGATGATCACAGCCAAAACAAGGGACAGCCAGCCAAACACCTGCTGCCTCTCTTTACACTAAGTATGATCATTCAAAGCTACCATGATCTTTTTTTTTTTGATACCGGGGAGCGATCTCACACTTGCAGAACAGGCACTTATGCTGCTACTGTGATCATGAAACTGTACCATCTCTTCAGTGCCGATCTGTGGTCTATTTCCCACTCAAGTATAAAGAGCATATTCTGGGAAATTTGGGGAAGAGGAAGCCTGTCAAAGGCTAGACCAGGTTAGGAGATGGTAATAGGACAGGCTGCTTACCCATTCACTGTTCTCAAAAATAGGGACTCAACTATTCTTATGATCCTTAACATGCTCGAAACCCTGAATGTCACTACATCTCAGTCAATCTGTCACAGGCTGGTGTCCTTGAGATCACATCACCTTACTTCCAAACAGGCAGGTGATTAATATCATCTTGGAAACCAATTTCAACATCTGGCAGCTCAGCCCCAAGAAAGAGAAGACAGCAACACTTAACTATTGCCAGCCCAGCCTTCTGGGGGGTAAGGGGGGACGGCCTGTGGGATCAACTGAGTACTTACACCGCAAGCCAGCCACTTCATAATCTTCTTCCTCCTCTTCCTCTTCCTCCTCAGAATTGCTCTCATCCTCTTCAGTGTCCTCAGAGGCAGATTCTTCAGTGTAATTCCTGTGTAGAGGAAGGGTCATGTAAAAAGCATAGTTCTAAACCAGGCATGGTGGCACACACCTGCAATTCCAGCATTTGGAAGGTTGAGGCAGTAAGATCCTTACAAGTTTGAGACCAGCCTGGGCTACAAAGCGAGCTCAAGGCCAGCCTGAAATGCACAGCTAGACTCTCATCCTAAAATGACAAAAAGACCCAAGAAAAACAAGAAAAACTACTACCACCTCAACAACAACAAAAAAACACAGTTCTATTCCAAAGTGGTCCTGAGAAAGGCTAAAGTACTACAGGGATCAGTGATGATTTTCTCTTCACAGAGGAGATAGAGTTGACAATAAGGGGAGAAGCCTACACCTAGGCCAGGACAGTTTTTCACAGAATCCAAAATGAAGCCCCCACTGTATGCCTACCTCTGTTCAGTGTCAAATAATTTGCTCAAGATACCAAGGGCAAGAGAAATCAAGACCAAAGTGCAACTGTTCTCCTCTCCACACAAAATACAAAACACTTACTTTTGTCCCACGAAAAGAGCCAGATTAGGTAACATTTCAGGTACTAAAAGCTGACTTAACTCTGGGGTGGACTGAAAGGATAAACAGAGCCCAGACAGGTGTTTCTCTACCTTGATGGCCCTGTTCCAGGAGCTGAGACAGCTTGCAGATGACCATGACATCAAAGCAATGGTAATCCCAGCTTGGAGCAGCTGGTCCAAAGCCCCACCACTTCATAGAAGCATGCCTCATCTCTCTAAGGGTAATTGGAATGGAGTGAGAAGTAATCCGGTAATACTGTTAAGGTGGGGTCACAATCAAACAGCTTTTCCCTTTATAAGGGAGACCACCGCCAGAGTGCTGGCTTCTCACAACCTCAAATTTCAGCATGGGAAACAATATTAACTTGGTCTCCTCTTTACAAGGTCCTGTATTTGGACATATTGATACTTGGGTGTAGAACAAAGCTACTCACAAACCAACAATCTCATGGGAGGCAGCCATGTATAAAACTCAGCATAGCGGCAAAAGGCATGCACTGAAAATTTTTTTTTTTTTTTTGAAATCCTGTTTCAGAGATTGAAAGCTCAGCTGTCACAGAAGAAAAATAACTCTAAGGAAGTAAAAGACTTTGAAAAAGTAGTGCAATTTGAGTTAGACCACAGGCAATTTACTTTGTTAGAGAAGCACTAAACAGTATTCCTAGATGGGAGAAAGGATGAATAGCAAACAATCTGAAGGGGAACAAGGGCTCCAAAAAATAGCTTAGGGTTGTGCAAGACTCAGGATTTAGGCTTGAAATGTGGACTTTATTTTAGAGGCAATACAAAGATGACAAGCTTAGTTAAGGAAAGTGACCAGACATTTGCCTTATGGAGATTGTTCTGATGTCACTGTAATAGCTGAATGGGTAGAGGGGAAAGACAATAAGAAAGAAAGAGAGTGAAAAAGCCACGAACAGAGGCCGCATATCAGACATAGGGAGGAGAGACAAATAATGGCAGGAACTGTGGAGGATGCAGAGCAGGTGAGTGATCCTTAAGACATCTGTACATTGGATTGTAACATTTGGAAAAGTAATAAATATACAGGATAAGGGAGAGAAAGTCTACATCCAAGTTGATGTCAAAGTTCTAATCATAACAGAGAAAGGAAACATTATTGAGAGGGAGTATAGAGTAAGTTTGATGGTAGACTTTTAGCCAAAGTTGGCTGCAAAAAAGGCAAGAGGGAGTCAGATATGTATTTGTCACGTGAGAAGGAAGAATGATCAAGGCTACTTGTAATCCCAGCTCTCAGGAGGCCGAGGCAGGAGGATTGCTTTGAGTTTAAGGCCAGCCTGAACTACACAGCAAGACCCTGTCCAAAAAACAACAACAAAAAGACTATATAGATGTGGCTGAGAGTGAAAAGAGAAATGCGGACATGCAACTAGAGTCAGATCATTACCCTTTGAGCTCTTACTAAAGCAACATAAATGATCAGGTTTTGTATTCAAAAGCTAGCTGAAAGCGCCTTAGAATTACTCAAGTTTAAATAATCGAAGCTTGGGGGCTGGGGATTTAGCTCAGCGGCATAAGTGCCTGCCTTGCAAGCAGGCAGTTGTGAGTTCAATTCCCGGTACCGAAAAAAAGGAAAAAGACAAAAAAAAAAAAAAAAAATCGAAGCTTATGTATTCATTTGTTAATTTTTAAAAGACAAACTCTTAGAAGAAAAGGAGACATTATGGTAGCCACTGTAGATTTCCTGTTGTCTTGCTTTGAAATCTGTCACTTACATTGTTTTCTTCTGATTTGCTTTGTTGTTTTGTTTTACTCTCTTTAAAATAAAATTAAAAAAAAATTAAAAGACAAACTCTCACCTGCCACGGGAATTGCGCCTGGCAGTAGCAGGTTGGCAAGCTGGGCACTGCCACTCACCATCTGGTACTTCATAGAGGGCCGGCCTCAGACAAAACAGGTGGAAGGCTTTATTACACTCATCGCATAAGATCAGTTTGTCATCTTCACCTGCAGAGAGATAAACTTGTGTAGCATTGTTGACAACACAGCAACAGTCACTGACTTATAAGAACTGCTGACTCTTATCAACACCACAGAACAACAAAGATCTAGATATTCCAATCCAGCTTCTTAAAAGAAAAAATAAAAGCAATCTTTTTCTTAAAAGAAATATAGCATAAACTCTGGTATAGGTAACTTAGAGATGAGGGCCTCTAACTCATACCCCAAAAAATCTACCCAGGGCTTGGACAGGGTGAGCAGTAAGAGGTAGTAGCAGGTGCTGCTATTCTCTGACTTTGACCCTGCAATGCTTCCCAGTGCATGCCTGGTACCATTCTAAGTCACTCAGTGTCCTTATATTTGACAATACACCGAATGAGCTTACCATGATCAATTCTCTCACATCCTTATTCTTAATTAGCAACTGAAGGATTTTACGTACCATTTTTTGCCTAGGGAAACCAAACCTTAATTCATAATGAGCCACTGAGAAGTTAATCACACAGCTTTTTGCCATGAAGTTGCTCGTACACTCAACAGATCTGAAAGATCTCGGCTATAAAGCTATAAAACAGTATTTCCAAAGATACGGTCTATAGTGACCAAGTCTGCTTTCTGTGGCATGAACAAAGACTGCCCCCTGCTGGAGGCACCCATCTTGCTGCATAGTTAACTCAAATCCTGACATGGTAAAATTCAGGTTAATTTTGCTCTCCAAAGTTTGAAGTCTGGAGAGATCAACTGCTCTCATACTCTAACCTGAAGAACAAAGGTCTTCTCTGACACACTAGCATGCAATTACAAAGATAAACATTTAATAAAACCTCAGGAGAGGGTAAAACGGCTCCATCATATCTGAAATGTGTCTGCACAGAATTCTTTAGGAGAAAAAAAGATATTGAGACTGGAAGTCTAAATTAGTTCCTGATGCACTTACATTAGTAAATTAAACATACCTTTCTTACGACAAACTTTGCACCTTGCATTTTCTGCAGACATATCCCACTTGATACAGGCATCAAGCATCCCAAGCAGAACATGCATTCTGGAGAAAGTTTGGGCTTCACGGATTGCTGTCTTCCACTTTTCCAGGGCAGACGCAACCTAAGCAGACAGAAAACCAGGCCTGATTACTACAATGACCTCAAAACAACTAAGATAGGACTAGCAGTGGTCAAAGACACTGGAGAATTCTTTTTTTTGTCTATTTGAGACAGGGTCTGGCTATGCAGTTCAGGCTGGCCTTGAGCTCACTTTGTAGCCCAGGCTGGTCTCGAACTCGTCACGATCCTCCTGCCTCAGCCTCCTGAGTGCTGGGATTATAGGCATGAGCCACCACGCCCGGCTTGACACTGGAGAATTCTGAGGACATCTGCCACTTACAGCATTGCTAATCTAATTGTCTTGTAGGAAAAAAACAAACAAACAAAAAAAATCAATGCTCTAGAGGGAGGGAAAAAACCTTGCTACACACCACATACAGATTAAATAGAGGAGAGAACAATAAAGGACAGATCTCTTCCAGTGAAGTCCACTTAAAATGCTTTGTATCAATTCAAAGGAACAAAGTACAGGAATGTACGTCAGTTGTAAACTGGTTCCTTAGCATATATAAAGCCCTAGGTTCAATTCCTCAGTACTTTCAAAAGCAAAGCAAAGCAAAACCCAAAAAACCCCAAGCAGGAATGTTTCTGTACTGTAAATGCAAGCATGCAACAATGTTGTGTACCTAACAAAATTGGCTGACAATTATCTGTTTTAGCACTAATCTGTACCATAACTTTGCCTATACGTGCTATAGTATATATAAAGCATTTTTGACAACTTTCAACATACTAAGTGCCTAACACAAAATATCCTTTCAACTCTAGTCCAGGTTGGCCTTGAACTCAGTGATCTTTCTGCCTCAGCCTCCTGATTTCTGGGATTATGGGCATGAACTGCCATGCCTGGGGTCCTTTTGTCTCCTAACTAAATTAAGTATTTTCCGGTTCCACGAGTCTAGTGCCCTAGCCTCACTTCATTCTGGACAGTTACTCTCAGCATAACCTGCTTTTGTGCCCCTCTCTATGAATAGAGAAAACAAATTAAAAATTAGCCAAAGAGAACCGTAACTAGAAAGAGGGGGAAATATATTAGGAATTTCAGCAGTAAACACAATCCTCTTACACATACTTTAAGAATGAACAAAATTACCATTATAGTCAAGGTCATCTGTTTTAGTATCTTGTTTAAAAAAAAAAATCAAATGAGCATATATGTACATAAATACTAATTTTTGGTAACTGTTCTCAGTCAAAAAGCACAACAGAAAGGGGATAGTGAAGCCTTGGGCTTGATTTCAGGCACTGGAGGAAAAATAAAAACATTACTAAGGATCAGAGGGTTGAGCACTCATTATGATCTTTCCTATCAAAGTATAGAATCCATAGAACCTTGTATATGTGAATTTATGAATAACAAAGAAAATAAACACATACAAATCTATACTTATAGACCAATAACTAAAGTTCTAGTAGAAATCAACTCTCTTACTCTAACTTATATTGTATGTTTCAACATCTGCGTTGAAAAGCAAGGTCCCTCAGACCCTCTACCCATCTCCTCAGTTAAAATTTGAGTCCACAGGGCCAAGGATTTGGCTCAGCAGTGTAAGTGCATGCCTGGCAAGCGTGATACCAAAAAAAAAAAAAATTGGAGTCCACAGAGCTGCCTTACTACACTGGAGATGACAGACAGTATTGCTGAATCCCTTTTTAAGAAACTAATCTAAATCTGTTCAAAAGAATATAAAATGCAAGATTTCTATTTTTTAAAGGTAGAATTTCACTCTGTCACCCTGACTGGTCATGAACTCCTAAATCCAAGTGATCGGATCAATCTTAAGATTCAGCTCCTAGTACTACTGATAACAAGCAGGGGCTAGGCTAACACTGGGCATAAACTGTCCTCTGGTGGGAAGTCGGATGCAGAGCACACAAGTGCTGGAGGAACTCCCGCCTCACAATATTGCTTTATACTTTCCTATTCATTATGAAATTTGAGCACCTAGTACACATTAGGCTAGTTAAAATTTCTTTAGAAATTTGAAGAAATCTTGGAAATAAGCTTATTTATTTTATTATTAAAAAAGCATTTTAAATGGCCTTATATAATAGATGGCCTCCTCCTTCTAGGTTCATTCACATAGCTTGTAACATTACGTCATTCCAGGCCCAGGGATTTAGATCAGTGGCACAAGCGCCTGCGTGACAAGCACTAGGTTTTAAGTTCAATCCCCAGTACCAAAAACAAAAATACAAGAACAGTACATCACTGTTTTCTCAGCCTCCTGGGAGCTAGGATTATAAACATCTACCACCATCCCCAGCACAGCCTTTTAATTTTATAGGCAAAAACATTAGACACTCAAATTTGAGGTCTGGTCTCTCACTGTACAATATCCTAAATGGTGCGGTATAGATAAAATCATAATAGCTAGGTGTGTATACACACACCTATAATCCCAGCTACTCTGGAAACTAAGGGAGAATCAGTTCTAAGTTTGAGGTCAACCTGAGCAACTTGGTGACACCTGTCTCAAAATAAAAAATAAAACAAGCAAGGTGGTATATATCTCAATGGCAGAGTACCCCCTGGATGTGACTCCAGGACTGCAAACACACAAATTGCCCAGTATGCTGGCTCAAGCCCATAACATCAACACTTGAGAGATTAAGGCAGAAGGAACATGAACGAGCTAAAGACCAGCTCGGGCTACACAGTGAGACTCTTTCAAAAATACAAACCAAAAGAAAACAAAAACTTAAAACAAAAAACAAAACTACATTCAGGGCAGTGTTTTTAAAAATAAATACTGGCCACCTCAATACTGATAGCACCCAGTAAAAATCTTGTGTTCTGCATGCTGCTGGGAGCCTAGTTACATTATTCTAAAGGAAAACTCAAATTCTCTAGTAAACCATGCTTAAACAAAGTTAACTCCTACTTATCAGTCTTCTACCACAGACAATTCAAAACAGAAAGTCAAGTGCTAGCAGCCTTCTTCATGGTGCCTGTAGAAGAATGAGAAGCAAATTCACAAGGTGTTTCTTTCTTTCTTGTTTTTTTTTTTTTTTTTTTTTTTGTCTTTCTGAGACAAATTCTTGCTATGCAGTTCAGGCTGGCCTTGAGCTCACTTTGTAGCCCAGGCTGGTCTCGAACTCGTGACAATCCTCCTGCCTCAGCCTCCGAAGTGCTGGGATTACAGGCATAAGCAGCCATTCCCGGCATTTCTTATTTTTGAAATAGCAATAATATCCCATAAACGTATGACGATTGTGTTAATTTTAAATATGTAAGGAGATGGAAACGCTAGCTACTTTGATTATATGCTACATGCACTGAATTACCACACTGTACCCAAGAAATTTACACAAGTAAAACAGTAAATTAAATTCAATTAAAAAAAAAAAAAACGGAAAAAATAGGCAACAGGTTGTCAGGACAAATGCAATCAAAGTATGAGACAGCCAAACAAAACCAAACATTTTATCAAATTATACATAATCTTTCCAATTTAATTCAAAGAAACAAAGTAACCTTAATCTATTATCATAAAATGATTTTGGAAAGACAAATTATTTTTATAAATAAGGAAACTGGACCCCACATTAGAAACTGACATAAACTCATGTAATAGCCTAATGTCAGCAGAAAAAACCTTGGCCCTTGCTAAGTGGAAACTTTCAAAGTAAAGGACAGTGGAAAATTTCCAAACTGGAGTGAAGGTGCCCCATGATGGGGAACTGCAGGACACCTCATTCACTCAGAACACTGGCAAGTTGCTCAGCACCGTCATACTGACTTACAGAAACTCTCTAGCTTTCTACTTCTGTGCTATACAGGGATGAGGGGAGACAAGGACAACACACGACAACTACACCATCACAGACACCCCCTAAGCTAACTGAAAAGCTAAGTACAGCTTACTTCCCTGAAGGACTGTTTTCTCCTATTACTCAAAAAGAACTTCATGAAATCTTACATGTACTAGTTAGCTCTCAGAAGAAAAAAAAAAAAAAAAAAAGAGGAAAAGAAATAGCAAGGAAAGATGGTCCTACAAGATTCTTTGCATAGAGCTAAGTTAAAAATAAAACCTAGGGGGCTTTAGCTCAGTGGCATAAGCACATGCCTTGTAAGCACGCGGTCATGAGTTCAATCCCTGGCACATATATACACACAAAAAAACTTAGGCAGCATTCAGCAAGATGACAAATACCCAATGATAAAAGGGGACTAGACAAGCACCTAGTATCTTAGATTTCATCTAAAAGGTTACCTATGTAGTAAGCAGCCACTGAAAGAAATACAGGAAGTTGATAATTTATCCCAGGAAGATAATATACTTGTGAGGTTCCTAAATTGTGAATTAAACCTTTTTCTAGACTGACTATATTCTCTGCTCTGCCTCTTACCCAAAATTATCTTCCCATATAACCCATCACCCCCCCCCCAAATCACTTGTGGCCTCAGGAAAGATGACTTCATAAAAATATTTGAGGTGTTTCAGTAAGGCAAGCAAGCTCATTCTGTATAAACTAGGAGAACAAACTCGAACCAGCTGTCAATGACAAAGTGGCCAATTTCACTTCAAACCAAAAAGATCTATGCCACTTTTCCACAACTGGATTACTTCCTACTTATTCTTTAAAATCCAGCTTGTTACGTTCTCTGAGACATTTTCTTTAACAGGCCCTGGGTAAGCCTCACAGGTTAGCCAAGCACCATTCACTGACACAGCCCCTAATTTACCAAAGATTCAACCTCCAATGTTCAGACCTTAAGATAGTGTAAAAGTGTTATCATTAGTAGAAGGAAGACTTCAAAACTAGACCTTTTTCTAGGCTTGTGAGAAGATAGAATAGTCTGATGCTGCTGACAGGACCAGCAAGCCACAATAGTCAGCTAGGTTAATCATGAAGGCAAACACCTAGGGCTGTATGGTACACTGTGCTGCTGAGCTCTGATGTGGGTGGCTTAGGTGTACTCTGCATTTCTGGCTTAATGGTGGGAGGGTGGAGGTCACGGGGCAGACAGGAGCTACATTCACTCCCAGTCCCATGCCTTGTTCGATACTTCTCTTCCATCTGGCTGTTTCTGATTTGTGCCCTTAAATAATCCTGTGAGCCTAAGCAAAATAATTCTGAGTTCTGTGAGTCATTTTAGCAAATTACTGAACCTGAGGAAGGAATCATGAAAACCTTCAATTTAAAGCCAGTATGGTAGCAACCTGGGACAGGCATCTAGAGGGCAATCCTGTGAGAATGAGTCCTTGACTTGTGGGATCTGAGACAAATGGCACTGAACAGCAGAGCAGAAAGTGTCAGAAATGAACTGAATTACTACTTGCTAAAGAACTAGAGAACTGTTTGTTATGAAAGAAACTTACTTATTTCATGTCAGAAGTATACTGAGTGGAGAAACACTTTTCTTTTACCATACAGTGGATATTAGCCTTAAAAAGAGGACTTTTGGCATGTGCTAAACCATGTATGAATCTTGAAGACTTAATTCCACTTCTATGAGGCACCCTCAAGTGGTAAAATCCACAGACAGAACAGTGGTTGCTAGGGACTGGAGAGGAGGAGGAGGAAATGGAGAGTTTTTTAGTGTACACAGTTTCAGGCTGGAAAAATGAAAACATTCTAGAGACGGATGGTGGTGATATCTATATAATAGTATAAATCTAAAACTACATACATAAAATGGCAAATTCTACATTATGTGCACTTTACTATAATTTTAAAAATATTTTAAAAACTATTACACCTTTTTATAAAAGAGAACTGACCTCTGGGGAGAGGGGTTTATACTCATTTTGTACCTCTGGCTCCACAGACCAATTTGCAAACCACAAATCTTGTGGAATTGACCATTTAATTTAAAACAGAAACAGTTGGGTGTGGTGGGTACATGCCTGTAATTCCAGCACTTGGGAGGATCCTTGAGTTCAAGGACAGCCTGAACTACATATACATAGCAAGACCATGTCTCAATACCCCTGCCAAAACCAACCAGGAACACTAGCTCAGAGACCAGAGCTTATACATAGCTAAAAGAACATGATTAGACAGCTTTAAAAGCAAATTACACTCTCCTATACAGTAATAAAACTATAGCAATACCTTGTTCTATGGAACATAATTTTACAACTTTGGGGAAGATAGCTGTATTTGTGTCTGTGAGGAGAAGAAGAGCATGGTCGTGTTTGTCACCCAATGTAGTTTGCAAATGAAAACAACACTGTGCCAAATGCTTGTGAACCAAACTGTTTACAAACAGAAGTGTTTATCCACTGAGGTTGACTTGTGGATCCATAGTTGTCCATGTTCAATAGCTAAATACCTTTTCTTCTTCTGCTATCTTCTTCTCTTCATCCACTTCCTCAGTTTTTACTAAATCTTCACTTTGGAGTTTTCTTCTCTTTTGCTTGGGAGCCATAAAGCCTTGAAGAAATTTCTTGATGACACTGGCCTGAAGGGCAATGACACACTCACCAAAATCCTTCAGCTTCTCCAATGAAATGACCTAAGGAAATTATTTAAAATCTAGGTTAAAAGAAGGCCAAGGATTTTCTCTCGCTCTTCAATTTTACTTTTTCAAATAAACTTTGCCACTGCTTTTTGCTCATTTCATACAATGCTTTGTTTGGGACGAGAACAACCTACAATCTAACTCCAGAAGGAGAGGTGAACAACCCAGAACCTCATAACATTTAACTGGGTAATGATTTTTAGAAGATACTATCTGATAAAAATACCAAATGGAAATTCAGATAATATAAATGAAATAGAGTGAAAAAAAATCTATACCTATATACCTGTATCTACCTCATGTCCCTGAAAATAATCAAGGAAAATAACTGGAAAATAGTGTCATTATGCCTTGTTTCTCCAAAGCTTCATTGATCTTAGTTAGGGGTTTTTGGAGGTAGCTGGATCTAGGGTGTGTGATGCTGGGATCAAGGATATGATGCTGGAATCGATTCATGGTGTGACGCTAGGATTAAGGGTGACCCACCCTGATTTAAAAAAAAAAAAAAAGGCCAGAAAACAATGGAATAAGTCTTCCTTGTAATTAAATTTTTTAAAGAAGTCTGTCTTTAAATTCAAATCAATCTAGATTAAAATATCAAAAGGACCACATAATATGACATAGCTGTTTTCACAGTTTACTGGATAGATTATATATTTAAAAGTAGTTGATTACTTCCAGAAATTCTCAGTACTTTAGGAAGTTACCCAGTTTACTGAAATTTCATCTACTTTAGGCTGTTCAACAATTGCTGATTACCTACTATGGGTGCCCTATGGTCTTAATGCAAAGAGAAACTGAGGAAAGTCAAAATTTACTATCTGCCTTCCTGTCAAATAACATGCTTTACATACTCGATCACCTTTAAGCCTGGCATCTATTTTATGGATAAGAAAATGGGAGCCCAATCCTTTCATCAAAATTATGCTCGCAAACACTACATACTATTGTCAGTCACACAAAGCATGCCAATTAGGAGATAACATTTTTGTGGCCACAAAGAATAATGCTATGTCAGGGGCTGGGGATTTAGCTCAGTGGCATAAGCACCTGCCTTGCAAGCAGGCAGTCGTGAGTTCGATCACCGGTACCGATAAAAAGGAAAAAGACAAAAAAAAAAAAAAAAAAAAAAATGCTATGTCAGCCAAGATGGAAGCCTGGGTTAAGCTTAGTACAAACAACTGGTAAATATCTGCTAAGCAAAAAAGGAAACATGTAACATTTGAAACTGGCAAAAATCATTTGGGGTTCAACTTTTTTTAAAAAATCATTAAAAAATGTTTAAATTTGTTTTTCTAGAAAATGTAAGAATTCATTGCTAGGTTAATTAAAAAAATTTGTATACACAAGATGTTATATACAATTTGCTAGTTCTAAGCAGAGAAACAAACTATGTAAAAGAGATTAAAGTTACTTATAATTAGAGAAAATGAGAGAAAAGATTCAATGTTCAGAAAAATCATACAACTATAAAGACATACATTCCAAAACCTGGGAGTGGTGACATGCACCTTTAAATTTATTTTACTATTTTATTTTAAAGAGAAAAAAATAAAAATTTCAAAACACAATAATTAGGGGCAACAATGGTATATACATTGTGTATTATACATATTTTCTTTTAGCTTCTCATACTAGGGAGACAATACACTGTTCATACACGTAAGTGACACACACTTATAAGTAGCATCCTAGCTACTTAGTCATCTGAGGTAGGATATTTGAGACTTGAACGCCAACCCAGATGATATAGAGAATCATTTAAAAACAAACCAAAAACAAAACAAGTAAAACGGAGGCCAGGCATAGTAACGCACATCTGTAATCCCAACACTTGACAGGCTGAGGCAGGAAGATCCTGAGTTTGAGGCCACTGTGAATTACATGGCAAAACTGATCTTAAAACCACCTCTATTCGAAAGAATACACATGCCAGTGGGTACAAATGGGCACTCTTCAACATCTGCAGAGGACTGGTTCCAGAACACAAACCCATCCAACCCCCTTATCAATATCCATGATGTTTGAGTCCCTAATATAAAATGGTACTGTATTTCCATATAACCTACAACCTATGTGTCTTTCCACACATTTCAAATAAGCTCTAGATGACTTACACCTGATGTAATGCAAGTGCCATGTAAATAGTTTGTTAAATGTAATGTTAAGAAAATAGTGACACATATCAGGGCTAGGGATTTAGCTCAGCGGCGCAAGCGCCTGTTTTACAAGCGCATGGTTACGAGTTCGATCCCCGGTACTGATTTAAAAAAAAAAAAGAAGAAGAAAAAAGAAATAGTGACATGGAAAAAAGTCTGGGGGCTTCCGGGAGAACATGGCGGACAGATAACAGCTACTACGGAGGCTCTCTGAAAGACTCGGCTCAGAAGTCAGGAAGGGTGCGGAGTAAGGAGACATAAGCCGGTGGAGATATGCTCTGCTGACTCAGGAACGATCTGGGCTGAGAGAAAACAACTTGGAATGCAGTCCTGGTGCTAAAATAGGAACAGAAAAGCCTCGGTGTGGAGGCTGGAGCCCACGCCATTGGAAGCCGCGATTTGGGTTTCCCGGCCGCGTGGCGGCTGCCTCTACATCAGCTTGGCAAGGAGAGAGACGCGCGGAAGCTCTGAGAATGGGAATCTGCGAACGGAGTCGAAAACAGGACGGGCAGGGAGGCGTGCACTGACTTGTGGTGAGGTGAGTGAGAGAAACTGACACTACCACAGTTTGACTCCAGCAGAGGACATTCTGGGCCCGGGCAGTCCTGCGGGAGCTGGGCACGGTGGCGACTTCAGCCAAACATCCCCATCTCAGGCGGGATTGGTGAAAAGTGCCTAGCCTATGTGACGCTGCTGGCGGACCCAGTAGGCTAGCCCAACCCAGATCCCAGAGCCTGACGGTGGTCGGGAGGGGCAGGCCCCGCGTAGGCTGCCTGGTCTGGAACTTCCTGGTGTGCTGCAGTGGGCGGGAACACCTAACCAGCTCAATTCGATCAGGCTGTGGCTGACAGGGAGAGAAGCTGGGCCTCCTATGTAAGCTTGCATATATAAGGAACAGAGAATATGGGAAGAGGCAGCAACAAGAAAGGCTCCTCGGCCCCCAATTCTGAGAAACAGGTAATAGCAGACACCGCACCAATAGACATAAAGCGCCATATAGAGAGCCTTATAGATCAGTTCAGGAATGAAGTTATCAATGACCTGAAGCTAGAAGTATGCAGAATAGTTAGAGAAATGCTAAGCACCACCCAAGAAAAAACAGATGGTGGAATGGAAGAACAGAAAAAGAGGGGAGAATTGTTTGATGGAGAAAACAGAGAAAGCATAGAATACGTGAAGCAGGTTCAAAGGGACTACCAAGAAACTAAGAAGTCTATCGAAAACTGGCATAACAGCTTGAAAGAAACTAAGAACAGACTATCTGAACTGGAGGGCAGATTTGTAATATGGGAGAATGAAATGAAAAACTTCTTACAAATAACAGAGAAACAAACAGCAATAATACAAAGACAAGAAGATAAGAGGATCCATAACTTAAGGATTAAGAACATAAAAGAAGAAGTAGGGACACAAACAAATGAACTACAAAAGCTACTCACAGAAATAATCCAGGAGAATTTTCCTAATTTAGCAAAAGGTAAAGATACTCAAAAGTATGAGGCATACAGGACCCCAGCCACCTACAACCCAAACAGAGCAACATCCAGACATATAATAATAAAAATTCCAGAAATTCAATACAAGAACAGAATATTAAAAGCTGTAAGAGACAAGAAACAGACCACTTACAAGGGAACACCCATCAAAATTACAGCAGATTTCTCTGCACAAACCATCAAATCACGAAGAGCATGAAGTAATTCAAACTTTGAAAGATAATAATCTCCAGCCAAGATTGAGATATCCTGCACAACTGTCCCTGGAAATTGATGGAAAAACAAGGTGCTTCCAGGATAAAGAGGAACTGGGAGAGTTTGCAACCACCAATTCAACTCTACACAGAGTATTGCAGGATATTCTAAAAAAAGAAAAATACAAAGAATCCAGAAATAGTGGCGGGGAGGCCACAATGAATGGAGCAGAGAACAAAATGAAGAAGACAAACTGACAGCTACTGACAGAAAAAGAGCTCAACAGAAATGAGGCAGAGAAGATTGGATGATAGGAACAGCTATTTTGGAGAAAATAACACCTTAATAGGTAATACTGATTTAGTATCATCTTGTTTTGAAGTCTCATCAAGCTTTTGTTCTTCTGTCTCCATTGGTCTAAATAGGTTGTATCTTACTGGATTTTATTATGTACGATAGTATAAGCAAAAACCTTTTAAAGACAAGGAGATCATACAGAAACCATTGTTCATTTTCTGTTAGTCGATTCTAAATACCCTGTAATGCTGTCATTCTCTTAAATGGTTTTATATTGTTTTGATATATTTGATGCTACAGTATACGAAGTTGTACTCAAGGATTTCAAGGAAAGAGACAATATGGTAACTACTTGTATGTCAGGATTATCTGGTGGTGAAACACTATTCTGCTTAAATGGTTATGTTTTGATCTGCGCTGTTTTGCTGTTATGCCCTCTTTTATCTCAATCTCTACTCCATTATTTACTTTTTTATTTTTATCCTTTTGATTAAGGGAAAAATAAATAAAAATAGCAGGATATATTATAGTAACCCACTTTGACTTTCCATTATCTCGATTTAAAGCCCTGTATTACTCTCACCATCTTGTTTTTGACTGATGTTCCCCTATTCTGTTTTGCTGGATAGTATCAGGTTCGAAAGTTTAGGCAACAGCTGTGAAGATAATGAGATTCATTATGACGCCCATTCTCGTTGACTTTTGTCTACTTTTGAAGACCTACAATGTCTCCAATGTTTTGGTTTTGTCGGTTTTGTTCTTTACTGTTTTGTTCAATTTTATTATAACTAATGATATAGGCAATTCTATTAGAGATAGCGGGAAGCATTATGGTAACCATTGTTGATCACCTTGTATTATGTTTTTACATTATCTATTATGTCCACCCTTTTGATTTGACCGACTCTGTTCTGTTATGTCACATCTGGTTTTACTCTCTTCCAAAAAAGTAATAAGAACTGTGGGAGCAATGAAACCCAAAATGTGTAATAGTCATTGTACAAAAGAGAGGAAAAGAAAGTGCTCTAAACTATGTAACTGCATGTATATTTAAGTGTATAAGATAGAAAATGATATTACTGAGTTTTATTGGATCATTGAACAGAACTGTTTGCAGTATCATTGTTGGAATGTCCACTTTACAAGCTTTAATTTTGTGACTTGAACAATTAATTCTAAGATGACAATATGTAATCCATTAACTAGTGATTTCCTACTGTTTATTTATTTTTTCTTCTCTGTAAATCTGTATAACTTGTACCCTTTCTCTGCTTTTTTTTTCTCCTTAAATAAAATTAAAAAAAAAAGTCTGAACATGCTCAGTACAGCTGTCATTTTTTTCTGGAATATTTTCTATCAAGATTAGTTGAATGCATGGATGTAAATTGAAAGACAGCTGACTAATTTCAAAAGATCCACAAAAATTAATGTCCAGGGTTATGTGGACTTTTATGATTTAAAAATCAATAGAAATACTTTAATAACTGACATAGTATTTCCAATCTTCTCAGAGTTTCACTTATACCAATAATGGTAAACCTACGGCACGCATCCCACAGCCAGCTGTTTGTTATCACTGAAAGCTTTAGAAGATTGGTCATCACTGGTAAAGGTCACTATGAGCAATACATGGCAGGGCTTATAAATGGGCCTTAAAAGCAGGTCACTTAATACTACAATTGATGTTCAACGTAAAACAACTCTCCTAAAGTGAGTGAGTGTAAAGAATGGTAAAAGGCAGGATACAAACACATGTCACATTTCAGGCTCAAGTATCACAAGGAAAAATTATGTTAAATGATGTTATATAATAACTGCAGCTTGACAGTTTTCATTCAAAGAAATTGGTAATTTTTTTTTTTCAAATCAAAGTTTTGAGTCAACTACTAGATTTGGGGAAAGGGACATCAGTAAAAGATGAAAAGGGGGAAAATACATACATAAAGAATTTTTGGATCTATGCCTTTCAAGACAAAAATCGCATGTTTTGTGCCAAGGAACAATTTCAAACTGAATTTCCATGAATACCAGCTTCCTTAAGAGTATTTTCTTATATTCTTACCCGGGCTTCAAATTCTGAAGTTTCTTCTACATATCCAAGTCCTCCTTTCTGTAACCTTGTTGCAACTTCAATGAGATCACTCCTCAAGAAGTTTAAGAGCTCCTGGTTGCCATCACAGGATTTCAGACCTAAATTAGGCTTCCGAGCCAGATGAATAGAGTGAATAATGTCTTGGTACCTAGAAGAATTGGTGGAGGGATATTAAAAAAAAACTTTGGTAGCGTTCTTCAAATTTCAATTACCTGAATGATGTGTTTTATGTCTAGAAGACTTATTTAAATATTTTTAAATTTCTCCTTGGTGCTTAATAATCTCATTCTTGTACAAAATTTCAAATTTCTTGCTTCATTCTAAAACCATCTGTTCTGTATTTGATAATTCTAGTGTCTAACAAACACTGCTTTTCTCTGATGTATAATTCTCATTCATGTTGCTGGTTGCTTTACATAGTCTGGCCCGTTTCTCCCCCCCAAGCCCCCTGCCATGAGTTTCCTGGAGTTTCCTCTTTGGGAACTGTTGATAGGCCTTGTTTGAAGCTGCACTCTTCTCGAGAACCAGAAGTTGTAAAGGCAACAAGTCACAAGGAGTTGCTGGGACAACTTTAAAAATGTCTGCTCAGGACTCACCACAACACCAAGAAATGTGAATGCAAGTGGAAAGCCTGAACAGCTACCATCAGAATGGTTTACCATGACAAAAATCAGTTGTTTGAGAGCCCAGTAATAAAGACTGACTCCTCTACAACTCTCTGCCCTAAGAGTCTCAGACTATCACAGTGTCCTACAAAATGAAAATTAAAGCTCAACAGACTTTAGATGAACGTAACTCTTTTTTTTAAAACCAGGAATTGAACTTATAACCTCCCGCTTGCCAGATAGGTGCTGTGCCACTGAGCTATATCCCTGGCCCCTTTTTCTTTTTTATAATAAAGGTTTTTAACATTTTCCCCTGAATAGAAGTCTACATGTCCCACTGTTTGTGTATATGGTTTTTGTTTGCTTTTTCAGCACTGGTTTTCAGCAGAACCTTCACATAGAGCAACCTTCCCAGCCCTTTTCTTATTTTGAGACAAGGTCTTCCTAAATTGCCAAGGCTGGGCATAAATGTATAATTCCCATCTCACCAGGCCCAGGTCTACTGGTTTTCTTCTTCTTCTTTTTTTTTGTCTTTTTCATTTTTTATCGGTACTGGGGATCGAACTCACAACCGCCTGCTAGCAAGGCAGGTGCTTATGCCCCTGAGCTAAACCCCCAGCCCCTCTACTGGTTTTCTTATAAAGGAGATTTCTTTCATTGCTTTAAAGATTTTATATAGTTTTCCTTTGATCTAAGTCACATCTAGGAATATATTTAAGTTAGTAGCAGTTAACAACATTTTGGCCTCCACTGTAGAATCTACTTCTAACTTCAGTGCAAGCTGACTATAGAATGTATCCTATAGGTGTCCTTTTTACTTTGGTGGTGGTAGGGACAGAAGTCAGGGACCTCAAGCTAGGCAAGCACACTACCATTTAAGTTATACTCCTGCCCGCAAAAGTAAATCTACTTTTAAACTTTATTGAGCTGGGCATGGTGATACATGCCTGTAATTCTAGCACTTGGAAGGCTGAGGCTGGAGGACTGCTGTGAGTTCAAAGCTAATCTGGGCTACACAGTGAGTTCAAGGCCAGCCTGCATTACAAAGTGAGACCCTGTCTCAAAAAGTAAACAAAAAATTTGTCACAATTTTGTTTGTAGCTATATGTAATTATTTTATAATTGTCTAATGTTAATAAAAACTTTGCTTCTAACTGCCTTAGTAATATCCTTTCACTATTTAATCCTTCATCATTTTACATATTTTCTTATAAATATACAATGGATGGCACGTTAATAAAAGACAGTAAATCCCAAATGCTTGACAGCCTTTTAAAAGTTCAAAAAAAAAAAAAAAAGACAGAATAAAACACCAACCCACAAGGGCTTTTTAAAAAAAAAAAAATGGTTGAAGAAGCGATCTTCATTTATCAAAGGGAAAAAACAGACATATTTTCTTTTTCTGGTGTTGGCACTGGGGAGTGAAAAGTTGTATTTAACTACATCCCCAATCCTTTTTACTTTAACAAAGTATCTAGCTAATTTGCCCAGGTTGGGCTGGAACAGTGATCCTCCTGCCTTAGCCTCCCAAAAGTCCTAAGTATATGCTATCATATATAGCTACTAGATCTGTATTCAGTTTTGGGTGCCTCTACTGGCATTTCCTTCCACAGTTTTAGCCTGGCTTGGTAACACATGCCTATAAACCCAGCACCTAGAGGCAGGAGGATAGTTTCTAGTTAAAGGTCAGCCTGGGTTACAAAGTGATTTTAAGTCCAGCCTGAAATGAACAGTAAAACCATGTCCCAAAAAGGTATTTAAAAAAAAAAAATCCCCAAAAGATGTGATTTTTAATATAATGTGAATTAAGATATACATTGAACAGAGACATAAAATCAGTACTGTATTATCTATTATCACTTGGAGTCTAGAGGAGTTGCAAAGGATGTACTAAATAGAATTATTTTCTCTTCAAGCAAACCTAAATTCAGCCATGAAAATGAAATGAGGCAGGTTTAACTCCAAAAATCTAATACTAGCTTTTCACAGAAATGTAAAGAGGTTACACTAAAAATTTAGTTGGAGTGGATGGTATTTTATAGACACAAAAGGGTTTTATTATTTTTAAAAGATGTATGTAATACAAAAAACATGAAAGTCACCATTTTAAACACCTTTATGTTATGAAACCATCACAACTATCCAGCTCTAACACATGTTCTACCACCCCAGAGACTCCATACTTGTTAGTAGCCCTTGTTCCTAACCTTCCCTCTCCCTAAGGCAACCAAAGTCTGCTTTTTCTATAATTGTGTAATTCTAGGTTTTTCAGATAAATGGAATCATGTGATATTTTATCCCCCACTTTTCTCACTCAGCAGAAGGATGAAAAATCCTACCTCTTCTCTAGTCTGTCTTTAAGTTGACTTTCTCTTATTCCCTGAGGATGAAGGCAGTTCAGCAACTCATCTAACTCCTTTTGACTATCACATAAAAACCTGTAGAGGCAAAAACAGGTATTACAACTCTGAAAAAACAATCCAATCTTGGGCCAGGGATTTAGCTCAGCAGCATAAGCCCCTGTGTGAGGACATCAATTCAAATCCCTGCTACCAAACAAACAAACAAAAAAGTAAAAAACAATCCAAATCAAACACTGAGTAAGGGATCTACGTCTGCTGACAGGAGACAGAAAAGCAGAATTCCAAATCGGTTCATTCTATTATCTATAATCAAGATAAATAATTTACTATTTCCTAAAGTTAGCTTTATCCTAGCATACTGGAACCAATTTTTCCTACTACAATAAACAAGATAAATTTTATCAAGTTAATAAAAAAATGTGCATATACCTTTAAAAACTATCCAAAAAACTAAAGACAAATGGTAACAACAAAAACAACTCAGTCAAAAGTATAAAGGACTCAAAATTTAGCTCCTTACCTAGAAAAAAAAGTACATACAAAGGAAAAGTAATGGGTATACACACACACACACACACACACACACACACACACACACACACAATTTTACTCTTCAATTAATAAAACTTTATCAAATTTTCAATTAGATTTATAAAGTATAACTTATAAATTTTAATTAATCAAATTTGATTCGGAGAAATCCTAAATATTTCTATTCTCAAATAGCTTCAAGAGAATTTCTACCATAAGACCTGTATTACATATTAGAGGGAGAAAATCAAATTTCAAATCTTGAATAAAATAAGTATCTGCTTATCAAAAAATCAGACTTTTAAAAAAGCAATGAGCTTTGATATACAAAAAAAATCAATGTAAAACAAAACGTCCTTCACAGATAAGTTTTTCTTCCTCAAGGAAAAACAGCAAGCCACCAGGCAAATAAATGCTCACATTACCATAGGTTCTGTCCTTGTTTGGGTATGGTGGTCTCCACAGCAATTTCTAGTGCTGATCGATGTGTGTTCATGCTTGCATTTTTGCCTAGGTTTGCTTTCTTACCTAAGAAAAATGTAAACATTAAGTTGTAATATCATACCCAATTCCTAGTTTTAAACCTAACTAATACCCAGTGCCAAATCCAACAACAAGTAACACAAAAGCTGTCTGTTAAACATGACACACAGCAGATGCTTATGCAGTATGATGGTTCAATTTAACCTTTTTTTGACTTTATCATGGTATAAAATTGATATTCATCGGCAGAAAGTATACTCTGAATTCTCATTTTTTCTTAGTGTTGCATTGCACAGTTTACAGTGTATTATGCCCGCAAGCCATGTCCCTGGGTGTTTTTTTATTGAGACCAGGTCTCACTATGTAGTTGAGGTTGCCCTTGAACTCAATGATTATCTTGCCTTAGTTTTGCAAGAGCTGTTGATTATAGGTGAGCACCACCAAGCCTGGCTATCAAATGCATTTTTAGCATACAACAGTTCCAATTTCTAATGACTTTATCAGGCAGTAATGCCCATCACAAGCTGAGAAGCATCAATATTTTCTCTCTACAACTGAACAGTTATACAATTAAAACTTCAAGAATGCTGTGAAAAAGAACAGAGAGGGTTAATGAAGCAACCACAAGAAAGTAAGTAATTTATTCCTTTTATGTGATTTTTGTCTTGTTTTGAAACAGGGTCTCACTTTGTTCAAGGCCAGTCTTGAACCTATGGCAATCCCTCTACCTTAGCCTCCCAACAGCTGTGATTACAGGCCTGTTACACCACTGCACCCAGGTTTGGCTTTTATATAAGAGCAAAGGCACTTGGATGAAGCAGAGATAAACAGAACACATAAACTACCACAGATTTATCCCTGGAGGCTTCAAATGTCAAGCAATACCATTAACTTCTTTGTAATCCAGTTCCTATATATAACCTTATATAGATAGAACATAAGCAGATTTATCAAAGACTGTTTTAAAGCATCATAAACCTGACCTATCATTACAGATGCTCTACTCAGGCCCTTTCCTCTCCCTGGAATGCTAACGCGTAACCTTGTTTAGTCTTTTCAGTTGGCTAATTCTGAACAAACACTCCATTCTTTCAACCAGAAAACATGAAATTAGAACACTCACCAGAATGATCCAGAGCAGTAGTGACAAACCTAGGCAAGTGTGCCACAGGTGGCTGTTTATTATTACTGAAAGCTCTAAAAGGTTTATCATCACTGCTCTAAGAGTCTAGACATAAAGGAATTTAGATACCAAATCTTTTCTGAGGCATGTGATTTTTTAAACCTGATTTCCAAGCACTGCCAGATTTTGAAACATATTATAAAACAATCCTCCCAACTCTGAAGATCCTTACTCTACAGTGAACTCCTCTGCCCTCACTCAGTTATTTAGAAGTATAGTTTAACAGGCATATGTGTATGTACACAAACATAAAAAAAAGTTAAGGTAGTTATATTACTGATTTGTCTAAGTTCACTGAAGAGAAAGCTTTGTGCTGGTATTGTTCAGACAATTGAATGCAGATTATCTTGTGCTTTGGGTGAATGATTTGGGGATGACAATGCACAACGTATATACCATTGTTGCCCTCAATGATGTGTTTTGAAATTTTTAGTTTTTTTTCCTTCTTTTTGTCCATGAAATAAAATTGATTTGAGAGGAGGGGAGGGGGCCAAAAAACTAGTTTAGCTAAACTAGATTTCTCTGCAAGGTAATATACTTAACATAAAAATTCAACATGAAAATACATTAAACTTGAACTTTTAGGCTGTAGTTTTAAAACTGATGATAGTTTCCTCATTTAACAATTCTCTGTGTTAAAAAGTTCAGATTAGGAATTTCTCAAAGATGAAACATTACTTTCTTAAAACACGAAGACTTCTCAAAGTAATACAACAGATGTGAGAGAAACAATTTTCACTGGGTTATACTGACACACCCAGTGGCTCTAAACAAAAAGCAATGCTGCCTCCCAGGGGACATTTGGTAATGACTGAGGACATAGGGATGCTGCTTAATGTTATACACGAAGTACATGGGACAGTTCTCACTACAAAGAATCATTTGCATCAAAATATAAGTACCACTGAGGTTCAGAAGGCCAGCAGCTCATGTTTAAACATTTTTTAAAAACTTCTTTATTTTTAGTTAAGTACTTGTTATTTTGCTGTTTCCTCTTAATAGAATTTAGGTTAAATGACATTCAGGATATTATCTGTCTGGTTTGGCATTGTACTTGCCACATATACATTAAACATTTCTTTGCACTTAAGGGGTGTCCCCTGAATACTAAATTTGGAAAGTAGAGAAAGAGGACATGTAACTTTTGTTGCCTCCTAATCTTGTTCTCTCTATGTCTTCGGTTCTATGCATCTTACTCAAATACACCTATATAAGAGCAAAGAAGAAATTTTGCAATAAAAAAGGTGACAGGAAAGGAATTCCTTAACATTCAGCCTACAAGTTAAAGATTTTTCATCTTCACAATGATGAGAATTCAGCACATATACAGTAGAAATAGTTATTTTCCCAAGTCAGCAATATGTGGTACCACACTCTTGCAATACTGACCAGCAACAGCTGGGAGCCAGTTCCAGTCACTCAAACAGCCATGAGGGGAAACATTCATGTTCTCCAGTGTACTGTGCTGTGAGCTTCTGACTTCTGGTAGGCCATGTGTATTCAATCAATGTTTGATATTTAACCACAGGTTTACCAGAACATAACCCAATTGTCCACTAAAGAAGCATCTGCAGCTGAGGTACTATACTTACTGCGAGGACAGTAATCCTCATCAGGAGAGTCCACATGGTCTTTGCGGTGATGGTTGAATCGATAATCAATGCTGTCATGTGCCCAGCCTTTCTCAATGAACAATCCTGGAACTTCATCTGAGAAGAGCCAGTATCTACAAATCACAATCATGCATTAATACAGCAGTACTGTTGTATGATTTTGCTGGAGAAGACTACAGAGTATGATAAAACATTCATAACCACAGTTAACAGGTCCTCTCCTTTGCCTACAATTCCAGGCAGATAAAAATTATAAGGTAGAGCAAAGGGTAGCAAATCTTTTAGAATGAGAATCATCTAATATCTAAAAATTCTAACAATTTTCTATCATAACGTTCTACATTATATGCATGCTTTTAAAATATATTATCGATGACTTAATACCCTACAAAGAAGACTCCAAAAGATTCCACTAAAATGTATTACCATTTTAAAGAATTCTATTTAGACTACATTTCATCTACCACATAAGTAAGTCTCATTTGTGGTATCTTTCTGGGCCAGAATATGTGATTTTGTGGGGAGCAGTGCAGGGCCTCAAACATACTAGACAAGTACTCTAGCACTGACCTACATTCCCTGCCAAGGAACAAGTCTCAAGGAGCTCTGTAACCCTAGCCATTTGGCACAGTTAACGGTCAAAAAATGAGTAATGAGCAATTAAATTTTCAAACAGAACCTGAAAATTCAACAGGAAAGCTTATTCTTAGTTCTGTAACTTGTAACTATAGGCCTACACAATAAAGATTAAATTTAATAACTCACCTATTATGGTTTCGATCAGTACCAATAGGAGTCCTACGCATGACCAACTTTGCCCTGGCAATTCCTTCCTGGAAGGCTTTTTCAGCAGCAGCTTTGTGCTTTCGTATTCTTTCTTCTTCAGCTTCCCGTTCTAGTTTTACTGGCAAAGGTTAAAAAAAAAAAAAAAAAGTACTCAATATAAAGGAGATACTCATCAAACCTTAGTTTCCTTCTCTGAATTCTGTCACAATGACATGTGAGGCAGCCAACTTCTTTTTAATGTTCCTATATTCCTTAAATTTTCATTGAGTTTCACCAATCATAGCCACTTAATCCTCAAAAAGATCAGGATGAAAAAAACTAATAAAACAACTATTTCAAGATAAAACCTACCTAAGACTGAGCAATCTGATAGTAATTCTCAACATCCTTGAGGAGAAAAGAGCTGAGAAGAGCCAGGGTTCAGCAGCATGTGTGAACAACGATGATCAACGCATGATTAGTAGTAAAGCACTTGCCAAAGTCCCAGTTTAATTCTCAGCACTCAAAAAAAATCAACACTAAATAACATTTTTTATTATTATTCAGCAAGCTATTATAAAATGATAGAAAAAACTCTTGATTTTTCATTATGAGTGTATTCTATTCAGACAGAAATTTCCCTCAACAATAACAAAGCCCAAGTATTACCTTTCATGTTTCTAATTGTCACAAACTGTTACTGAAAGGTTCAAAACACAATTATTTATAATGCTAGGACTTTTAACTTTGATCTTCTACCACCACAATATGGTGAAAACATGGAAAGTGCATCATGGATTTTATTTTAAAAATTAAAATATGATTAGCCGTGATAGCACATGCCTGAGTATCAGTACTCAGAAGGCTGTGGCAGGAGAAAACACTGAGTTCATGCCTCATCTAGGCTACACAGTGAGTTTAAGGCCAGCCTTGAACTACATAGCCTAAGTCCTGTCTCCAAAAAAAAAAGATAAACAGAATTTATGACCATTAACAGTCTTCTAAACTGAGGAATTATGTCTGTGATAATGGTTATATAGATAGCAGAAAAAAAGTGATAATAAAGAGTAATGGATATATTAAAATCAAGAAAAAGCTCATTCTCCTTAGATTACACACAAAAACACACCAATTTAGGGTAAATCACAAAGAAGATCAATCAGTATTCTAGGAGGCTTAGGTACGAAGACTGCAAGTTTGAGTTCAGCCTGGAACACAGCACAGTCTTCCCACCTGAGAAGACTCAGGCATCCACACATGGTGGCACATGCCCGTCTGTTACCCCTGCATTCAGGATGCTGAGGCAGGATTCCAAGTTTTAGCCCAGTTTGAGCAACGTGGCAGGACAGTCTCAAAATAAAAAGGGATGGGATGTAGCTCAATGGTAGAACAAACTGGGTTTCATTCCCTAAAAGGGGGTGAGGGATTCACAACACCAAATTTAGTTTGTGTTCTTTGAGCAGAAACCACCTCAGTGTGTACTGACTGAAGAACAGCAAATAAAAAAAAACATGGTTACACAATAGAGTATTATTCAGTCCCCAAAAGAACAAAATACTGATATATGTTATAACATGGACAAATTCTGAAGCCATTTGCTAACCAGAAGGCAGAAATGAAAAGCTACAAATTATATGATTTCACTTATAAGAAATATCCAGGCTGTGCAGGGGATATAACTCAGTGGCACAGCACCTGCCTGGCAAGCACAAGGTCTTGAGTTTGATTCTTGGTACAAAAAAAGGTGTATCTGTGTATATACATGTCTATGTATATTTTAAAAAGTGTGTCTGTATGAATGGCTTTGGGGATTGAACCAAGGGTCTCATGTTTTCTACTACGTAAGTATGCTATCACTGAGCTACATTCACAGCCCTCTGGAAATATATTTTGAAACACTGAATTATACCCAATAAATGAGTGAACTGTATAACATAAGAATTCATTCATTTTGTTTTGTTTTGAAACAGGGTTTTGCTATGTAACACAGGACAACCTTGAACTCACCAGGTTGTGAGTTCTTATAACTCATGGTAACCCTGCCTCAGCACCCTGGGTTCTGGAATTACAAATGTGCACTACCACATCCAGTGAGAATTATTTCTTAATAATGCAAAACAAAATAAATTTCATTAAGGTTCAGATCTGGTGGTATCATCAAAGCCCAAGATTTTAAGTTCTTAATTATTAATAAGGTAAAAGATAATTATCCAAGCTGGTGACTATGCTAGGAGCTTCAATATCTTCTCTTTCAACTTTAACAAACATGAGGAAATAAATGTTCAAAAGAAGAAAGCAGAGAGAAAGGATCTGAAACCAGGTCAGCAATTCCAAAGTCATGTTTCCAGTATATCTATTTATGCCTTTCGTCCTTTACTAAGACTCTGACATCAAATTAATTTACCATTAATTGCAAAAATCCATGCTGAACATTTCTCCTAAAACATACCCTAGAGCTGGGGCTACAGCTCACTAGTAGAGCACTTGCCTAGCATATACAACACTCTGATTTCATACTCACCACTCTCATTCTCTCAAATAAATAAAAACTAGTCAATTCTGGGCTACTGCAGAAATAAGTGACTGGTTATGACAAACATGAGACCTTATCACTACTCTGCTGCTCTTCTATTGTCTTCTAAATGGCTTCTATCTTTCCTCTTAGCATAAAATTTTACCTTTCATTTCTCTTTCCTGGATTTCCCGTTTCCTCTTAGCCTGCAGGGCAAGCAGTCTTCTGCTCTTCACAGCACTAATCATATCTTCGGCTTCCGTGTCCACCTGGGGCTCAAATTTCACAATTTCTTTTTTCCTATCAGTTTTGCCTAACCCATTTTCCTCTCTGCCATTTTCTTTATTTCGGGCTTCCATTTCTTTGCGTTTCTGTTTCTCTGCTCTCTTCTTATCATTCTCTTCCTTTAACACAGCAAGACGCTCCTTCCACAACTCTGCAGACATCTGCTGTCTGGTTTCCATGTGGTCTTGGACTGAGTATGTCATGAGGATCCGGTGACACAGTGCTGTCAAGATCCGGAGCTTCTCCTCTGATGTTAGTTCAAAGAATTCAGAGGTCTCCAGCTTCTCTAGGAACTCATCTTGTACCTCATTGTCCTCAAAAGGTGCTGAATCTTTATTGTCATCTGTATCTGAACCCTCACTTTCCTCTTGGGCATCAGATCTGCGCAAACAGAGCCGCACTAGCTCTGAAACAGAATGTAAAGTGAGTGGGATTTCTGACAGCTTCATCCCCAATTCACCATAGTCTTCTGCTATTTCATCTTGTAGTAAGGTCTGCAGCAAGATGACCAACACTCTGTTAAGGTACAAAAAGCCACCCTTATCTGCACTCAAAGCTTCCATAAGGGACACAGCAGTGATGGGATACTGGGCATCTGGGAGAAGAAGCCCGGAGTAACAGCTCAAGAACTCCACCACTAGGGCCACATCCCCAAAAAGGGTATTGGGCAGCCCTTCAGGTGTGTCCACCAATCGAAACGCTGGAAGGTTTTTGCCAGCTAATTCTTGGTCCTCATACCGTTTCTGTTTTTCTAATTTCTCAAGCATTTCTTTCTGTCTACGTTCTTTGGCTTTTTCCTTTAACTTTTCTTTTAGCTCTTGTCGTTTCTTTTTCAAATATTCTTTCCGTTGCTCTTCAGACATAGAGGCCCACCTCTTTCTATGCTCTAGAAGCTCATAGCGTTTCTGAACAATAGTTCGCAATTCCTCTGGGAGACGAGCTCGATCTTCACTAGAGAGAAGGCGAGCAGTTTTAGAGATAACACAAGACAGGGCACTCTTCTTGTCTTCTCTGTCTTTGTTTTCTTTGTAATAGGCAATCAAGTGTAGGGCAGCAGGAGGGAGGTGTTTATGAGGTTTACTAGAAGACCGAGGTGTACCCCCAGAATTCCGTGGGGCTCGAGTCATCTTCTGAGTGCCTTTAGCCATATCCAACAAGGTCATCTGCTTCAGTTTGGTCTTAGGAGTCTTTAAACCTTTTTTGGGAGATTTAGAATTCCCTGTGGATTTCTGTCCATTTAGGATGCCTTTGCTTCTGCCCTTTGGCTTTAAAGGTTTGTCACTGTGCTTCCCTGGTTTCTTGGCAGGTGGGCCTTTCTTAGGAATGTGAAAGTTAGCATGGAGTTTATTGGGTGACATCATCTTCATCACTTCTTCCAGATGTTCTTCTGGAGACTTAGAGTTCTTTGAGTTCTTCAGTTTGAGTGGTGAACCATTCAGTGATTTCTTCAAGTGTACATGACACCATAACTTGGGATTTAGTGGTGAACTCAGAGAAGAATTGTCTGTTTTAGACTTCTTGGAAGGTTTCCTGTCTGGGGATCCAGTATTCTTCCTCTTAGTAGAAGGGTTCAGAGTCATGTACTAGAATTTAAGAACAGGAGCAAAATTAATCTCAAAAACTCATTTAAAGAAGCAATATTTAACTATTTTAAAGGTCCTCTTCCTCAGATATTCAGCTCAAGTTACACATTCATTTTTCTTTTTCTTTTTTTGCCTTTTTCATTTTATCAGTACCGGGGATTGAACTCACGACTACCTGCTTGCAAGGCAGGTGCTTATGCCGCTGAGCTAAATCCCCAGCCCCCAACATTCATTTTTCTTCAGAAACACTGTATGGATACCCACGAGGAAAAAAAAAGACATGTTAGTAGTTTTTTTCTGTATCAATACAAAATTCTCGATACCCAGACTTAAGACAAAAATAGTCAGGCATGGCAACACCCCTGCAATCCCAGAAATTCAGGAAGCTGAGACAGGAAGATTACTGAGAGTTGAAGATCAGCTTCAGCTACACAGTGAGTTTAAGGTTAGCCTGAACTGCATAGTGAGACCTTGTCTCAAAAACAAACAAACTAAATAAAAAAATAAAATCTACACTCTGGGATAGGTGTTAACTGAGTGTAGAATGCTTGCAGGGGTGGGATGGGAGGTAGAGTTGCTTACTGCTCTTAAAGTAGGGCTGGATTTTCACATTTAATCCTTCACTGCTCAGTGCAAACACCTGGGGCTCATTTACCAGTACTGCTGAGGTGCGGGGAGGGGGCCAGTACCACTTCCACCTATGATTTTAATACTTTAAAGAATATAATCACACAGAGAAAAAATTGGCAGCTAAAACTAAATGATTTTTAGAATATTTGATTTTGTCTACCAAAGGCAACTATGTACATGAGAAGCACTCAAGAAACACCAGGTGTTGAAAAAACCCACATCAACAGTTTGGGAGGTAGTGAGCAGGACAAACATAAGACATAACTGCAGCTGGGCGTGGTGGCTCACGCCTATAATCCCAGCACACCAGAGGCTGAGGCAGGAGGATCGTTGTGAGTTTGAGACTAGCCTAGGCTACAAAGTGAGCTCAAGGCCAGCCTGAACAGCATAGTGAGACCTTGTCTCAAAAACGGGGGGGGGGGGGGGGGAGACAAACTGCAAGCAACAAAACAGCTGAAGACTACAATATATGAAAAAGAAAAAGTCCCCAAAAAACACAATAGGAAAAAAGCAAAGGCAATCTCAGACATAACACAGAACACCACCTATGCTTTTGTTAGGAGTAAAACAAATCAGTTTATTGAATTTTTATAGGCTGTGTTACAATGCCAACTAAAATTGAAACATTAAGGACAGAAATATCAGAGAAATGAACTCAGAACCACAACACAAGAAGCAGAAATAGTCTGCACTGATGAGTAGGCTACCATTAAGAAATCTATCTTCTGGCTAAGTTGTCGAACTTTAAAAGCCAAACTGCCTGTTAAGAATTCCAAGTACCTGCAGAATTCTGGGTCACTAGTTTGTGTCCCTTCTCTTCTTCCAGTACTAGGGACTGAATCCAAGTCATTTTTGAGAGACAGAGTTTTGCTAAGCTGAGTGGTCAGGCTTGAATTTGGTATCCCTCTGCCTCAGCCTCACAGAGCATTTGGATTATAGACAATGTGGCTCCATATCCATCTCAGCTGCCCGTTTTTGTTGCTTGATTAAATTCAGATGCTTGGTTCCCCAATGATCCTCAGGGTGGGGTGACAAAGAGGTCTTAGCCCTTTATAAAACATAATCTCCAAGTATACCTTAAAAGATCTTTTTTTCCAACAGAGAATTTCCTGGTCCTAGTTTCCTCGACTAAATTTCACAGTGCTCTGCATGGACAATCTTCAAAGAGAACAGTGTTTCAGAGACTATCATACAAATCATTGACAAATATGTGTTGCCAACTAGCCGTGGAAAATCTTCACAGTGCAGACATGTATACTGATACTTTTTCTATTGCTTAGAATAGCACATTATACATTTAAAGTTTATCCTGAAATAAAATTTATCACTAAAAAGACTAATGCTAGACTGTTTCATTTTAGCATTTAAAATAGGTATCTTTTAATAATTAAATCTGTAACTGCCGGGACATTTTAATTTATTGATTAAATTCTACTTAAAAAAATCTAATTTAGAAGAATAGTATTATGAAAACACATAAGGTAGATGGCTTGGCCATGACAGAGTCCAGTCACCCCATTTTATTTATAGGGTGTGGGTTTTCTGCCAACCCACATTAATTTTTTTTTTCTGAAAAATGAAAGAAATTAACTCACCCAACCCCCTCCCAACAGGCAGGCTCCCCGCGAGAGCAGTCCTTCAGTAACTGGATCATCTCAGCATGGGGCATGCTGGGTAGTCACAGCCAAATGGGAGCTGGCATGGCTGGACTCAGGGGGATCTGAAAAAGTATAAAACCACTTATGTGCTAAGGGTCTCCCCTATCTACCATTCAGCACAATTAATCCACTAGACTGGTATATAGGGAGAAAAGAATGAATACCCAAATTAGCAGTATCAGAAATTTTTGGCCCTTCCCTAATCACCAAATAGGTAAAAATATTTATGAATTTTTCAATTGGGGAGGCCTAGAGAAAGAGTAAAAATGAAATTTTTTACAGTTCAGATGTTAAATTCTCTGTTAACAAACAGAGAATCTGTTGGGGAATCTATATTCTGAATCTTACATTTCATCCTTGACATTTATTTAAGGTAACATGCTACAAGTTTGAGGGCAACAGTCTTACAATGAGTTTACCACAATCCCGTATGTCTACATCAGAATGTGTAGAAAATAAAATATTTTGAATACATGAAACTGGCTATTAGGACAAAAATTGTACTTTTAAATTTTATCACTGGCAATGAGACAAAATTATATTACAACACCTGATTTAATCCTTTGAGAATGTATCAATTTTACTTCTACTTTTAAAAACCTGAATCCAATCATGAGGAAATAAACCCATTCAACAAAATAACTGGCTTATTTCTTTCAGATTAAAATAATCAAGATAAAATAATCTAAAAGATTATAGTGGGGAAAGGTGACACATACCTGCTATCTCAGCAGTCTCAGGAGACTGAGGAAGGAGGATCACAAGTTATGTGGCCACTCTGGGCTACACAGTGAGCTTAAAGCTAATTTAGGCTACCCAGCCTAAAATAAAAAAAAAAGTCAGGGCTGGGCAGGTCAATGGCATGGTTCCTGCTTGACAAGCATGAAGTCCTGAGTTCAATTTCTGACTCCAAAAAAAAAAAGAAGGTCAAAGCTTTAAAAGACAAAAAAACCCTGAGGAACTGATCCTGATTAAGAAAGGCCAAAGAGGCCTGGAGATTTAGCTCATTGGCATAAGCGCCAGTCTTGCAAGCACATAGTCGTGAGTTCGATCCCCAGTACCAATTAAAAAAACAAAGGCCAAAGAGATAAAAATAAATACCATACTGAACCCTACTAAAATCAAAATAATTTTCTGGATAAAAGAAGATTACTGGAAAACTGGCAAAATTTGAGCTACAATTATAGATTAGGTCACTGATGGCAAATTAGAGCTTTTAATGATAACAAACAGCCAGCTACAGCATGTGTGTCACAGGTTCAATATCACTGGATTAGGTAATAGAACTGTTTCTACATTCATTTCCTGAAAAGACATGTATATTTATATATTTTGTTTTGTTTTGCTTTTTTGCACCGGGAATAGAAATCATGACCTACTGCTTGCCAGGCAGGTGCTTAAGAACATTCTGACTTACAACTTACTAAATTATGGGAAAGGTTAACATTTGAGGAATCTGACTGAGTAGTACATACAAATTCTTTAACAGTGTTTTACAAAACCTTCTGTATGAAATTACTTCAAAATAAAATATTTTTTAAATGTATTAAGAACAATGATAAATTAGTCCAAAATTATCAAGCTTCTACAATGTCTTTTTCCTTTTTATCGGTACCAGGGATCAAACCCATGACTGCCTGCTTGCAAGGCAGGCGCTTATGCCGCTGAGCTAAATCCCCCGCCCCAAGCTTCTACATGTCTTAAAAACTTATTTTTGGGGGCTGGAGGTTTAGCTCAGCGGCATAAGCACCTGCTTTGCAAGTGGGTGGTCGTGAGTTCAATCCCCGGTACTGATAAAAATGAAAAAGACCAAAAAACAAAAAACTTATTTTTTCCTTACACTTCTGCCAAAAGACTTCCTCATTAGACTCTATCATTCCAAAAACCACAGATCAAACATTATGGAGAGACTACAATAAGATAACAATAGGAAGCCGGGCATGTTGATGCACTCCAGTAATCCCAGTATTTGAGAGGCTAAGGCAGGAGGATTGTTCCAAGTTTGAGACCAGCCTGGGCTACAAAGTGAGCCCAAGGCCAGCCTGAACTGTATAGTGAGACCATGTCTCCAAAAAAAAAAAAAAAAAAAAAAAAGACAGAAAAACCCATTAGAGTTGCTATGTATGACAAGAGGGAAATGGGTTACTAAAATGAGATTACAACTTAGACAATATTAACTTATCAAATTGCCTTATAAATCATTCCTCTAAATCATTAGGCTTTCAAAAAATTATATCATCCTTCTAATCCCATTGTCAGTGGTTTTATTTCCTCAAAAAATGAAAATCCTTCAAGAAATGGCCAGGCATGGTGGGGCACACCTGTAACTTCAACTAGTCAAGAGAGTAAGGCATGGGGATTCCAAGTTTGAGAGTAGACTGGGCAACTTAGCAAGACTCTGTTCCAAAATGAAATTTAAAAGGGCTGGGGATGTAGCTCAGTGCCCTCTGTGTATGAGAGAGAAACACACAGACAGACACATACACAGAGACAGATGAATTAAACAGTATTATCTATTTCTGGGGTTTTTTGGGGGGTGTCTTTTTGAGGCAGGGTCTTGCTATGCAGTATAGGTTCGCCTTAAACTCACTCTGTAGCTCAGGCTGATCTCGAATTCACAACAATCCTCCTGGTTCAGCATCCCGAGTGCTGGAATTACAGGCATGCACCACCATGCCTGGCAAACAGTATTATCTATTAAAAGCAATGTACTATGCCAAATTTATAAGATTTAAAAAGAAAAAAAAGACAATTCTTAGTTTCAAGTAATTTATATTCTGGAAAGGGTTTGTGAGACAAGAAACACACCCTCATCAGCATCATTACACTATACCCTACTCAGGTAACACTGTAAAAAAGCACTACACTTCTAGGTAATTTTCTGCACTCCCACTTATGGTTCTCTGCCCAACTTGCTGCTTCTCTTCAGGTCTTGGTTCCATTCGTAGTAACTGTGTTCAGTAACCTGACAAAACATTAATTTGTATAAAACCAAAAGAGGACATAGAAAATATTGCATGCCCTTGAGAAGAGTAAATCATATGTAATCAACTTTAATCCTCAATATACTATGTTAAATTAAAGCAATATTTCACGGTCTACTTGTCTGTGCCTTCTACTACATTCTACTGGCAATGCTAGCACACTGCTGATGATCTAGGTCACTGGTGATGAACCTATGGCTGCATGTTATTTGTCTTTCTTTTAAAACAAAAGATGTTAATATATGACTGTTTTCTAGACTAAAACATCAGTAGTATTCCAGTTTAATTCCAGGGTTGGCAATCTGTGATAAGTGGGTTTGGGTTGTAGTCTGGGCTTGTCTCTAATATGCTCGCACTTATCTAGGTGAACAAATACAAACAACTCACTGAAAACAAGAAATCAAAAGTCCTTTAAGGAAACTACTTTTACAAAAAAGAAAAGCAGTTTATATGTAAAACATTAAGAAACAATGTAATGTCAAATAGTGTTGGAGAATAAGCAATTTCATAAATTCATACAATTTCATAAAAATACTCTGAAGATCAAATGAGACAATTTAAGGGGAAAAAAATGTACTAAGCAGACAAATGCTAGGTTTTCTACCGAAAATAATACCTGTTTCAGGCAGTATATTTAATCATCTTGGCTGATATACAGAACCAATTTCATTTTAAAAATTACATGTATATAGTTTTTAAATTATGCAAACATACAAAACATAAATCAAGCTGGGTGTGGATAGCACATGCTTGTAATCCCAGCATATTAGGAAGCTGAGCAAAAAGATGATAAATTTAAGCCAGATAGTTTATTGAGACCCTCTCTCAATATATGGGGCTGGGCATGCAGCTCAGTATAAAGGGCTTGGGTTCAATCCCCAGTATATCAAAATTAATCAAAGTACAAGCTACTCAATGTGACCTCTCCCCTTCAGTCACACAACTGAAACCTTCACAAAACGAAAAAAATATACAGAAATATTAAAATTCATTATCTGACATTTGAATTCAAAACCTGTTACAAGTCTAATCCTACTGGAGCTACCAGAGAAAACAGTCCTCTTGTTCAAAAATTAACAGTAACCGGGATAGGGATGTAGCTCAGTGGCATAGCACCTGCCTGGCAAACATGAGGTCAAGTTCAATTCCTGGAATCAAAAAACAAAAAAGATAAAAATTTAAAATAGTAATCTTACCTTATATGGATCCAGTAAAAAGTCACTGAATTTGCTAGGCAGGGAATACTTCTTTACCAATTCATCTTCCACTACCCAAGGTGCATTCTCACCAGCACCAGCACGTAAGGCATTGTGCCGTATGAAGTATCGCAGTATCTCTTTATTTGGTGGGCGCTCTGTACGAATCAAGCTGTCTGCTGGCACACTGCTGATAATCTAGTAAGATAGGAAGCAATAAATAACTCATTACTGAGATAATTAACCAATGAGAACAAAAACATCCTCTCCAAAAATCCACAATTCCATCTATAAAACAAGAGTTCTAGATTAGAAAACGCAGATTGGTAACAAAAACTTAATAGATATCCTTAGGCAATTTATTGATATGTCCTAAAAATGTACATCCCTTTGAACAGAAATTTTTTGTACTTATTAACTTTTCTTAGGAAGTAAATGAACAAAGTCATCATACACTACTTAAAATAAGCAAAAAGAAAAAAGGTGAGGGGTTATTGGTCTACCAATAAGGGATTCATTCTAAAAATTAAAATATATACATATACAGTGCTACTAAAATACAACTGTTTGGGCCTTAAAACAAACAATGATTTATAAGAAGTTCTGCCATAGAGCTTAGCTATCCAGATACAAGTTTAATAGGCTCCCTTGGTGACTACTGTACATGCAACAATCTGAGAATATTGTTTTGAGAGAAAACTTAATGACACTACAGATTTTTTTTTTTAATCAGTACTGGGGATCGAACTCACGACCATGCACTTGCAAAGCATGCGCTTATGCGGCTCAGCTAAATCCCCAGCCCCTGACACTACAGATGTTTAATCACATAAAACCGAGTCACAAAATAATACCCACACAACATTCCTATTTCAAATCACTAAAGAGTTAACCACCCTTAACCAGCTTTTCTTGACCAGATGACTTTGTTCATTTACTTCCTAAGAAAAGTTCATAAGTACAAGAAATTTCTGTTCAAAGGGATGCACATTTTTAGGGCACATCAATAAACATTCACCAAATATCCTTGAATGTGACAATAGAAAAAATTTAGGTTTTCTTATTTGCATTTTCTATCTTCCTATAACCAATTTTTACTACCTGTGAGGAACTGTTGAATGAGAGGTAAGCAACTTGATGAAAAATTGCATTTAACATGTAATTTTCAAACATAGGTAACTTTAACAGGCAGGTGTGGTAATACACACCTATAATCCCAGCAGTTGAGAGGCTGAAGCAGGAGGATTTCCAAAGAGTTCAAAGTCAGCCTGAACTAGGAGTGAGACTCTCTCCAAAAAACAAACAAATAAATAAAGGGCTTCATATGGTGGCACGCACCTGTAATCCCAGCACTATGGAAGACTGGAACAGAAGGATCACAGTAAGATCAAGATCAGCCTGGACTACATAGTGAGTTCAAGACCAGACTGAACTATGCAGAGAAAGCTTGCCTCAAAAAAATTTTAAAAATTATATATATGAGAGAAAAGAACTAGGTTCTTTATTTACTAATTTAGAACCTTTGACAGAGTTAATCAAATTTCTCAGGACTTAGAGCAACTGTCCTCCAAATCTTGCCCCTATTCCACTTCTTTCTATCTACAACCAAGAAGATTCTACTCAACCTGTATAGGAACATCTGCAAATAAGCTGTATTTCTTAAAGATACAATCAATGAAACACAAACATTATTTTATATAGCACTAAGAAAAAAATTTGTGCCAACTACTTTTAAGATATATTCTTATTCCGGACATAAAAAATACAAAACTAGGGCTAGGCATGCAGCTCACCAGCAGAGATATTGTCTACTTGTGTAAGATTTTGGATTCCATCTCTAGCCATTCAAAACATAAAATAAAATAGGCATTTTGGGATCAATAAAACATACAGCACTATTTTACCATTGCAGTTTTTTTTTTTGAGTACTGGGAATCGAACTCGGGACCCTCTGCTAGCTGGACAAGCGCTCTACTGCTGAGCTATATCCTCGGCCCCCACAGCACTATTTTAAGAGTATCTACTATTGTAGGTTATTAGCTTGTAGTTTTAAAGATTCTTTGTAAAAGTGGTATTTATAGTTGACTTAGCTTCTGAGTTTAATTATATTAAATTGTTCTACTTTTAAATGGGAAATGCTATTTCCTTGGGAAATCTGTTAACTACTAAGAACTTATTTTTTAACGGGAGTTAGAAGCTCAATTGTAAAATTATTACTGCCCCTTAGAAATTCAAATAAGCAAAAGAAAAGCAAGCCATTTCCTAGGGGGAAAAACATACAATTTAACGTAAGTCATAATTATTAAGATTAAAAAACCCACTTAAAATTTGATGTGTAAAGAGATTTACTTACGTTTTCTTTAGAGATCTCTCCAAGAACACCAACCCTATATATTTTCTTAAAACATTTATCACAGGTAAGAAATTTAGTATAAATTACTAACTAACCTTGTCTTCATTTTGTAGTTTCACATCATATTTGTGTGGCAGAAATTTTGGAGGTGCCCATTTCCTTTCTCCTTTTTTTAATGAAGTAGGAAGTTTTCGTGGTGATCTACGTGCTCTGTCATCTAATAAAATCAATAGAAAGCTTGTGAAAAATAATTCATTTAGTTCTATTCATGCACTCATGAACAATAACCTCACTAAACATCTACTCTGCACGAGACTCTGAGTGATATGGCCCAAAGATGAATCATAATATGCTTAATTCAAGCAACTAAATTCCATAAGCGAAGTAATAAGTAAATAATTGCAACACTATGAGATAAATACTGTAATAAAGTTGAAAAAAGAAAAACACTAAAAAGACAAATGCAGTGGCCCATAAACCCACTATTCAGGCAGATAAAGAGAATCATTTGTTCAAAGCCTGGGCCTGGGGATACAGCTCAGCAGCACAGTGCCTGCCTGGCAAGCACAAGGGATTCCCAGTACCCTCCCCCAAAAAGTTCAAAGCCAACCTAGGCAACATGGTATGACTCCATCTAAAAAATAAAAACCAAAAATACAGAAAAAGAGTACTTCATCCTGAAAGGGAAGCATAAATACACAAAAAGAGAATGACTGGCTCAGTGTAGTCAAAAATCAAACTGAAAAGGTAAGCCACAACCAGGTTATATAAAGCCTCATGTACTTTGTAAAGAGGATGGAATCTGCCCTGTGAGCACTAGGCAACTGAAGACTTTCATCATAACTAGTAAGATATATATGGAAAGATCACTAATGGGGGGGAGGGGCCTAAGAAAAAGAAAAGCCAAGTGTGGTGGCACATGCTTGTAAATTCTAGCATTTAGGAGGTGAGTCAGGAGGATTTCTGTAAATTCAGGCCTACCCTCAACTACACAGTAAGTCCCTGTCTGAAAAAAAAACCAAAAAGAAAATAATAGTAATTTTAACAGTTAGAAGGTAAATCAAATGAGGTAAGATTAAAAATAAATAATATACAGCCAGGCGTGATAGTGTATGCCTGTGATTGTAGCACTGGAGAGGTTGAAGCACAAGGCTTACCATGGAGTTCAAAGCCAACCTGGGGTAGATAGTAAAGCCAAGGCCAGCCTGTACCCATAGTAAGACTTTGTCTCAAAACAAACAAAAAACACCTTAGCTGCCAGGTGTGGTGACACACCTGTAATCCCAGCACTCAAGAGGCTCAGGCAGGGGGATCACCACAAATTCAAAGCCAGTCTGGACTACACAGTGAGACTGTCTAAAAACATCAGAGGGGAAAGGAAGGGGCTCAATTTAGCTGGGCAGTGGTGCATACTTCTAATCTCAGCACTAAAGGAGGTTGAGATTGTAAGACTAACTCCCACGTGGGTAACTTAGTAAAACACAGACTAAAATTTGAAAAAATAAACAGGGCTGGGGCTCAATGGTAGAGTGCCCAGGGTTTGATCCCAGTAACAAAACCAAAGTCAAACCAACCCTAGCTTTAATGAATAGACAGAATACAAAAAGAATCAAGGGCATTCTTGATAATAATAAATAATTAATAATAATAAATAAATAATAATAAGCATTATTATTTTTAGAAAATGGAACTTTAATAAATTGAGAAGAACCACTACAAAACTGAAAACACTTAGAATAAGTTAATTTGAGTGCTTAAGAGAAAAAAGAGGGAATGGTTTTCAAAGCATAAGTGCCTTAGCCCAAGAGGAGACAGCCCACTTCTGTGATGAAGGAAAACATGGAAATGATCAGGTTAGGAGCACAAAGCTTACTCAGTTGCAAAACTCTTATCTAGCATCTTCAAGGCCTGGATCCAGTCTCTACCATTACAAAAAGGAAGGGAGAAAATAAAGCTGAAACATTCTTGCCCAATACACCACACATGCCCCATAAAGTAAAAGCTAAGTCATTTGGTGAAAAACTATTATGAATAAGAAGAGCTTGTCTATTCCTGTGAAAATTCTTATCAACGTTTTCAGAAAATATTCGAAGTATGTCATAACATTAATTGCTTAACTACCACCTTCTTGCTCATTCTAGCAACAGCACTAAGTCACTAAGTTACAATAATTAATACCTAAACCAAGGCAAAAAACACTAAAAAAGAATTCAAAGCACAAAACTTGAGATTTTATGGTACATATTGCTCAGGTATGTCACTGATATTCCAATGATTTGACTGTAGAAAACGTATAAGATACATCTTCAGCCAATTCCTAAAAATTTAACAACCTCAGGCAATTAAGTCTAAGCAATGTCCAAAAATTACAAAACTTCAATATCAAAAAGGAAAAAAGAAACTAGAAAACATAGTCATTAGCATTCATAATACAGAACAGAAAAACTAAAAGATCAGTAACTGGGGTTTCCTTGCTCAACTGCAATCTCAGAAGTTTTCTTCACACTAAAAGGAAAACCATCTGGCATGGGCCACAGATTTAGCTCAGTGGCGCAGCATGCCTGGATAGCATGAGGTCCTGAGTTCAATTCCCCATAGCCCCCTCCCCACCAAAAAACATCTGGCACACATCCAAAACATCTGGAGACACAAAACTGAATGCATGAGACATGATATTCTAGTTAACATCTAGTCCAAAGTCTGTAAGTTAAATAATGAAGTAAAATATTTTCATTCTCTTAACAGCCACAGATAATACACATCAAACACTGTGAACTTATTTTTGGAGAAAAAAGTTCCATTTTTCACTTATACACATTAACAACAACAAAAATACAATCAGGCAAGCCTCAGAAATCAAATAATTTCTTTAGTGAGCAATGTTACAGTTCTTCAATTTTTAAAACATTATTGTTAAAAAGTATCTAGGTCCCTAGGACTTTTAAAAAAAAAAAAAAAAAAAAAAAAACCTGGGATCAAACTCACAACCTCATGCTTGCCAGGAAGGCACTTTTGTGATTGAACTAAATCTTCTGCCCAAGAAATTATTTCTAGACATTATAGTATTTCACAATTTTAACAGCTCCATCTGAGACTAGATTCCACAAAATGCAAACATCTGAGTCACCACAGTGGCATGCTCTGGAAACAGCAATAGGGATGTCTTATCATGAAGACAACTTTAAGACTAACAGAGGGCTGTGGGGCACATTGGTGCCCATAGCCCAGTTACCTGGAAGGAAGCTGAGACAGGAGAATCACAAGTTTGAGGCCAGCCTGAGAAACTCTTTTTGTGGGGGGCGGGTTGAGACATGACCTTACTACGTAGTGCAGGCTGGTCTTGAGGGCTAACCTTGAAGTCACAGTGATCCTCCTGCTCAGCTGTACTAGGATTACAGGAATGTAATCCCACCTCATGCAGCCAGCCTGAGAAACCTACTAAGACTCTGTTTCAAACTAAAAAGGGATGAGGAAGTAATTCAGTAGTGATCCTAGGTTTGACAACAAATATTACAAAAAATAAATTAAAAAGGGTTGGAGATGTAGCTCAGTAGTAGAATGCCAAGTACAAGGCCCTGCATTCAATCTCTAGCACCACAAAAGAAAAAGTAAAGAAAAACAAACTTTCTTTACTATCCTTGAGTAATCACCAATGAGCACACAAATTTCTAAGTAACTACAGGAAATAACTTAATAGTCCTAAATTACATCGAGGGGCTGAGGATGCGTTCTGTGGTAGAGCTCATGCACAAAGCCCTGGGTTCAATCCCCAGCACCACAAAAAACAAAAACAAACAAACAAAAATTAATTACATAGGGAGATTTAAATTTTAATTCACTTTGTGGACATTTTACTTGCTTTTCTGAATCATAAATAAAGGCATGTCTATATAGAAACTTAGTTACACATTAAGTAGCTAGAGAACTCTAAGACTGTGTGAAAGAAAATAAACAGGGCCTCCTAACTAACTCAAGAAAGCCAGGATCATACATACTAATAATCTCTCTCCTTCCTTCATCTTCTTTCACAGTTGCTTCCTTCTTCTGATGATCCTGAGCCATCTGACTGGAATTCTCTTTATCACTTGATGGAGAATCACAGGCGCCATCAGATTTCTTCTCATTGGCCTCTTCATCTACTTTCTCCAAAGGATGAATCTTTACAATCTTCACTTTCAGCATTTTCTCTTTTCCAACCTAAAAAGGAAACATAAAACAAAACCGGAGGAATTCAGTAAGTACAAATAGAAACCTAACAATAATACTTAGAATATCTGATCCAGTATACTGTCTTTCTCACCTACCTAAAAAATTCATTAATATCTATGTATTAAACACAGTGAACTTTATTTCTCAGACTTTTCAGCCAAAGCAGTATCTTTAAAAATAAAATGATTACCATCTAGTCCATAATCCATGCCCCATCCTACAAGGCCAAAGCACAATGACTGCACTAGCATAAAATATGTGTAAGAACTTATATTTTTTAAAAACTCAACAATATATTGATATGAAATTGAGACTCATTCATTTGTTGAAAAAGACTCCCTTTTCCACTTAATTACCTTTCCATGTCTACTGAAGATCAGTTGTGCTTGTCTACTTCTGCATCCTAGCCAGCTCCACTGATCTATTTAACACAGAAACTTCAAATTAAGGTTTGAAATGTAATATTCTTAGGCCTCTAATTCTGATGATCTTTTTCAAAGTTGCTTTAGCTAGGTTCTTTGTACTTCTAAGTGAAATTTTACAACTAGTTTGGCAATTCTTACAGAATAGGTACTGAGATTTTAATACAACTTTGTTAAGTCTATACATTATCTGGGAATATGACTCCTTAGTGAGTTTTCTCAACCTTGAACAAAGTGTAACAATAGTGGATGGTTTACTGCATCAATTGGAGAAGTTTAGAGGCATAACTAAATCAGCTCAGCAACTCTATACCCTAAGGTGAGAGAAATGAGAAAGGATGGATAGGTGCTTTAGTCTTCCCTTCAGCCTGCACAATGCTTCCTGGCTTCTAATGCAAACTTTTCAGATTCTACTTTGGATCCTTCAGCCTTCTGTTGCAAATCCACAAACTTGCGTGGACACTGCAGTGAACTCCAGTATGCTGACACCCTCTGCATACTTCCTCATCCAACGGCTGACCATCAGCAGCTAATCTTATAATTCCTTATACATTTGTATAATTTGTGTTTATCTATTTTTCTGGTAAAATCCTGATACAGTAATTCTCCATTTATCTAATCTTTAATTCTCAGTCTCAGTAAATTCATAAAAATTGTTTTACAACTTCTTACCTCATTACATGTTTTGATGCTACAGTAAATAGTAGTAATTTTTTAAACTTCAATTTTCAACTGTCATAAAATATAACTTCCATGAGTTTTGTTTTTGTTTGTTTGGGGGTGGAACCCCTGGGCATCAGACTGAGATACATTATCAGTCTTTTTGTAAAAACAATGTTTGAGACCATGAGACCTTGTATATCAAAATGTGTATTTTGAATGACCTGAATCCTTAAACATACACTGAAAGTATTTCTGGCCTAAAATACAGTCTATTTGGTAAAGCTTATACTTGAAATGAATGGGTACACCATTGTTAGGTGGAATGTGTTATGATGACAATTAGGGCAAATCTATTGACACTGTTGTGCAAGTGTTTAAACTAATATTCATGTTAACTTTCTGCCTACCTGTTCTCTCAATTACTGAGAAAGGGAAATGTTGAAATCTATAACTATAAATGTAAATTATCCAAAAAAACTGTCTATTTCTCTTTATAGTTCTATTCCCATTTCATATATTTTGAAATTCTATTAGATTCTATAGATTAGATTCTATAGAGTAAGAATTACTAAAACAAAAAGTACTATATCCCCTTATCCTCTTGAAAAACTGACCCCCTTTTCATAAAAAATGACATTCTTTACAAACTCTTTTATCTGAGATGTTCGATATGTATACAGACATCTCAGATTTCTTTTGCTTCTATTAACATAGTACATCCTTTTCTATCCTCTTATTTTTATTCTATTTGTATCTTCCTTAGGCAGCATACAGCTTCTTAATACAATGTCTATGTTTTTTGTTTTGTTTGGTACCGAACTTATAACCCTGAGCTTACCAGGCAGGTGCTTAGGCCACTGAGCTAAATCCTTGGCCCCCACAATATCTATGTTTTATCTGAAACCTTCAGCATAACTTATGTTTAATGTAATTACAGATAGGGTTAGGTTTATTTGCTAATTGATTCATCAAAAGTATAAACTTCTTCAAAAGAAACTAGCAAGGTAGTAAAGACATAATCCAAATAATATAGAGTAGTGAACTGGGAATATGGCTCAGTGGCACAGCACCTGCCTGGCAAGTGTGAGGTCCTGAGTTTGAGTCCCAGAACCAAAAAGGAAAAAAAAAAGAACAGAGGGTAGTACCTGCAAAAGCACATATATGTATCTAGCAAAGAACACTATGTACAGAATATACAAAGAAAACACACTCTCTCTCTCTCTCTCAATTCAGTTTTAAAAATACACGAGGACTGCTGGGGATGTAGCTTGGTGGTAGATAGAACACTTATCCAGTATTTGCAAGGCCTTATGCTTGCAAGACCCTGGATTCAAATCCCAACAACCTTGTTCCTCAAAAAGGACAAAAATTAAAAAAAAAAAAAAAAAAAGGACAAAGATATGAACTAACATTTAACCAAAGACAATATAAATAAATAAGATGTCAACAAGCACAAAAGTAGATGTTCAACATTAAAAGCTACTTGGTAAAAAATATAAAACCATGTGAGAGGCATGCATGGTGAAATGTACTGTAATCCTTGTATGTGGAATACTATGGCAGGAGGACTGCCAAATTCAAGCCTAGCACGGACAATTTAGCAATGGCCTGTCTTAAAACATAAACAAGAGATGAAGCTCAGTGTTGAAAGACTCTGGGTTCAACCCAAAGTATCCCCAAAACAAACACACAAACAAAAACAAGATACAATTCAACTATCAAAATGTCAAATTACAAAAAGAGTGGGAAAAAGAACATAACTACGGGCCACAGTATTCTCTAGAGCATAGATGGTCTTCTCTCACGCTATAGAGTACACTTATACTCCTGCTTTTACTTGGCCTAGGACATTCTGCAGTGCCTGTTTCTTTTCCCGCTTTTAATAAAACTTTGCAACCATTAAAAAAAAAAACAGTTGGGGGGCTGGGGATTTAGCTCAGCAGCATAAGCGCCTGCCTTGCAAGCAGGCAGTCGTCAGTTCGATCCCTGGTACCAATAAAAACAAAAAAGACAAAAAAACAAACAAAAAAAAACCAGTTGGTAGAGTACTCGCCTACCATGCCTGAGGCCCTGATTTTAATCCCTGGTACACAAAATAGAAAAGAAAAATAAAAACAACAGCCGTGCACACTGGTACATGCCTACAAGTTCAAGAGGCAGAAGCAGAAGGCAGAAGCATGATTGTTGAGACAAGAAGATTACAAGTTTGAGGTCAATCTGGGCAACTTATCCAGATCCTGTCTCAAGAAAAAAGAAAAAATTTTGAGCCAGACATGGTAGTGCACATACTTGTAGTTCCAACACTTGGGAGGCAGAAGAAAGAAAACTGCCTACCCTCAGTACCACAAAAGGAATGAAGCAATAAAGGATAGAGGGAAGAAAGAGAGAGAGGGAAAAAAGGAAGGAAGGAGAGAAAGAAGGAACATAGCAAGTGTTGACACTGATGTGACAAAATGGAACTTTCATATATTAACTGGGGGAATATAATACAACATAGATAATCATTTTAAGAAACAGTCTGAGTTTCTTTAAAAGTTAATGCCTACACTACCTATGCCAACACTCAAGAGAAAAGAAGCCTATGTTCATACATAAACATGTATACAAATAGTCATAGCAGCTTTGTTGGCAAGTCACCCAAGTATCTATCGATGTGTAAATGGATAAAAACTGTAATATATACAAACAAATACAATTCAGCAATAAAAAGGGGATGAACCTTGATATCTGTAACAGCAAGGATAGCCATATAAATAATTATGATGGGGTGGATTTAGCTCAGAGGCATAAGCACCTGCCTGGCAAGTTTGAGGTCATGAGTTCAATTCCCAGCACACAAAACAACAACAACAAAAAACACTCAGAATTGTTTAAAATAATTATGATGAATGAAAGAAACCAGACAAAGAAAAAAATAGATACAATGACTTTTTGACATAAAACAAAGAATCCAAACCATTTATAATAATCTAGCAGATCTGCACAGGGAAAGGTGAAATAGGGGAAAGAGATTACTAAAGAAAATGAATATGTCAGGAATGTGTTCACTATCTTAATTATGTTAAGTTTCACAGATGTGTATCAAAACATCAGCCAGGAGAGGTGGTGCCGAGCTATAAACCCAGCACTTGGGAGGCTGAGGCAGGAGTTCAAGGCCAGCCTGGGCTACACAGCACCTTCCAGCCAGTCTACCCACACAGGGAGATCCTGTCTTAAAAAATAAAACAAGTCAGGCATGGTAGCGCAAACCTGGAATCTCAAGACTTCGGAGGCTGAGGCAGGATCACTGTTTGAGGCCCACTTGGGCTACAAAGTGAATTCTAAACTGACTGAACTGCATGGCGAGACCCTATCTGAAAAAGACAAAATAAATAAAATAAAAACACACACCACTTATTAGAACTATAATTTGGGTTTTTTTGTTTTTTGTTTTCAGAGAAGGGTCTTGCTCTTACCCTTGTATGTCTTAAATTCCTTGGTTCATGTGATCCTCATGCCTCAGCCTCTCTAGCAGTTGGGACTTCAGCATGTAATACCTCAAGCATTTTGTACCTATTAATGGTGTGCAGTTTACTCTATGTCAAGCATACCCAAATAAAGTTATTTTTTTTTACAAAACAGTTGTCCTGAATCTCTGTAGCCAAATTCCTCAGTTTTGAGACATAAACTAACATTTTTAATGTTTTCCCTCAGGTTTCACTGCTGACAAGTAACAGGTGAATCTAAAACTCAGGTTTTCTGATTTGAAGTCCCACCATAACTACTAAGGGATTGGCCTACTGATTTTACACTTTTAGGTTCAGCAATAATACTCCGTGGATTTAAATGTACAGGAATAGCTAGGAATCATACTTTTTCTTTTCTTTTTTAGTACTGGAGACTGCATCCAGGACCTTTGCCGAGTTATATCCCAGTCATTTTTTATTTTGAGACAGGGTCTCTGTAAGTTTGAACCCTAACCTGGGCTCAAACTTCTGATCTTCCTGCCTGAGCCTCCCAAGTGCTGGGATTATTGTTGTGTACCACCTCTCCTGGCTAAAGGGTTTTGATACACATCTGTGAAACTTACCATAATCAAATTAGTGAACACATTCCTGACATACTATTTGCAACAATCAACTTGGGAATCATCCTTGAAAGCTCTTTTTGCTTACTTAGCCTTCTCATCCAACAATGTATTCTTTCCACTTCTAAAATCAATCTTCAACTTGTTCACTTTTCTTAATCACTTCAGTCATCTCACCTTCACCATTTCTCACCTGGACCTCCATACTAACGTGAGCCTCCTCAAATCCTCACCTGATTACTCCAATAAATTTCTCCACCAAATCAGTCTTAAAAACAAGTACCTAATTATTTTAATCATCCATTTAAAACCCTGAAAAGGGGTCTGGGGCTATAGCTAGTGTGGTAGGGCTTTTGTCTAGCATGCCCAGGAGTCTGGGTTCCATCTCCACTAAGGGTCAGAGGCTTTTCCAGTGCCCAGAGTTAAAGCCTTGACATACTTTTTGAGCCCTGTCTACCTCTCAGATATGGTAATGCATACCTGCAGTCTCAGCACAGAAAGACTGTGATGGATAAGGGGGTAGACCTAAATGTTGTAAATAAAAAACCTTCTCCAGAATTTACAGAGGAAATCTTGTTTGTATAGAAGATCGTATCACGAAATGAGGCAGGTAGATTTCCAGTTTCAGGCCAGCCTAGGATACATGATGAGACTCTGTCTCAAAATAAATAAATAAATAAAAACAAAAAAAAACGGGGCTGGGCATTTAGCTCAGCGGCATAAGCACCTGCCTTGCAAGCAGGCAGTCGTCAGTTCGATCCCTGGTACCGATAAAAACGAAAAAGACCAAAAAAAAAAAAAAAAAAAAAAAAAAAAAAAAAATCAAACCCTAGCAATTCAAGACATTACCAATAAAGAAGTTGCTGCACAATACAGGGACTTGGTAACCCATTAGGGACTCTTCCACTGTCTCTCAAGAGATATTCCTATCCTCAAATAAATTCTCCTACTCTTTTTTTTTTTTTGGTCTTTTTCCTTTTTTATCGGTACAGGGGATCAAACCCATGACTGCCTGCTTTCAAGGCAGGCGCTTATGCCACTGAGCTAAATCCCCAGCCCCAATTCTCCTACTCTTAAAAAAAAAAAAGTGTACACACACACATGTGCGCGCGCGGAGTCAGAGTAAGTTAGTGAAATGAGGAGAGAACGAAGACTTCAGTTTGAATAATGGTCTCCTATCTTACTGGCTACTACACTACATGCTGCTGCTGAGCTAGCTGCCTAAGTCATTTCCCTCCCTTTCTGTTCTTGCCAGTCTGCCAGCACACTTTCTCAGCTCACAGCCAAGGGTAAGGCAAGATACAGCCAACTATATGTAAAGATAAAGGTTGTACTTGTCTCTTATCCTTCTGGAAAGATTTCTTTTTCCTGCTTTAAAAAGCATCTGTGAATACACTCCTGATTTTCACAACCAACAGGCAACAAAGCCTAACATACTGAAAACAGCAGAACAGAGAAAGACTGCTTTAGTGTTAGGCATCACTCTAATAATAGTTATCCGAGAAAATTAAAAATAAATATAAGTAGAAAAAGAAAAAAGTAGTGAAGATTTGGATTAAATGTATCTAAAAGTCTCCTAAATAAAGTATTCAAAAATTGCAAAAATGGCCAAGTGTAATGGTGCATGCCCATAATTGCAGCACTCGAGAGGTTAAGGCAGGAAGACTGCTGTGAGTTCGAGGCTAGTCAGGGTTACAAAGTGAGTTCAAGACCAGCCTGACTACATAGCAACACCCTGTCTCAAAAAAAAAAAAAAAAGCGCCAAAAGAAAGTCAATATAACCATCAAAAAGAAATCTGAAATCATTGACACACAGGGTAGCAATAATCACAACATTCAATAGTCTTCATCAATATGACTCTAAAACTTAACGCTTATAATACAAGATATTAAGTAAAACTTCGTATGTAACACAACTTTACACATACAAAAATGTATTCTGTAATCTATGCTGGAAGCTTCAATTCTGATAGTGGTTACAGGAATAAAACAGGCACTTACCTCAAAGTCACACTCTTCTCCCACAGCATATTTGGTCATGATTTCCAACCAAGCAGTATCTACTAACTTCTCTAAGGATGCTGTGTTATGGTGAACCATTTCCAGAACAAGCTTCTCATACCAAGTAGGGAACTCCTCCTTCAAACTAAATAGATGTTATTAGTTACCAAGAAAACACAGAAAAAAACCTATTTATAGATTTAATTGAGGTCAATTCAAACGGTAAGGCAGCTTTTCAGAGCAGTCTTAGGGTCACAGGGAAACAAGCACTCCTCTAGCAAACATAAGAACAGTGCTGATATGTTTACTAAGATCACAAAAGATATGGTAGTGCATTCCTGTAATGTCATCTACTTGGGGGACTAGCGCAAGAGGATTATAAACTTGAGGCTATTCTGGACAATTTAGTGATAGCCTATCTGCAGTTTTTTTAAAATGTAGGTATACAGCTCAGCGACAGTGTGTCCTGGGTTCTATCACCAATATCAAAAACAAAACAAATATAAGACCAAAGTTTACAGAGAAAACAAAAACTTCTGAGGTTTTTGTCTGTTTGCTGAGACAGGGTCTTGCTCTGTAATTCAGAGCCTGAAACTCATGGTGATCCTATCTCAGCTTCCTAAGTACTGGGATTACAAGTGTCCACCACCACACCTGGCTAATTAACTTACTTCTTACAATGCCCTGTACAGTTTTATTTTACAGAAAAGAAAAATACATCAGGAAAAGTTAACAAGATGAGACCATGATATGAATTCCAAAACCTCTGCAAATTAAAAAAAATGAGATACTCTCACTCATTAAACCAGAAAATTCCTTTTTAGTACTAGAGATTGAACTCCAAGGTGTTCACACTGAGCTGGCTACATCCCTAGTCCTTTTTCTCATTTGGGCACAGGGTTTCAGTAAACTGAAACTTAATTTGTAATCCTCCTGCATCAGCCTACTAGAGTGCTAGGATTACAGATGTACTACCATGCCTGGCTCAAACAGGATTTAAAACACCTATCCCAACCTCTTCAGCTAAGATAAAACTGATCTTATTGATTTTTTTTTTTGTTTAACAGTTAATTTCTTTTATCAGTATCGGGGATCGAATTCAGACCGCATACTTGCAAGGCAGGCACTTACATTGCTGAGATGAATCCCCAGCTGACCTTATTAATTTTAAGTATCATCTGAAATTTCAAATTGCCACAAAATGAAGAAAATGTTGTATCTTCTGCCTGCCTCCACATCACTTCTAAATCATAGCAGCTCCTGTGGTTGGATCTCTATTTCCAGAGTACTCACAAAGCAAAAGTACAGAACAAGAGCACTCAAAAGCCTGGCAAGGGCCAGGGATGTAGCTCAGTGTAGCACCTGCCTGGCAAGCTCCAGAGCCTGTGTTCAGTTCCTAGTACACACACGTGTACACACACACACATGTGTACACACACACACACGCCCTGGAAAATACAGTACCTAAAATGTATATACATAAATATATTCCACACAGTTCACTACTAGCAAAATGCTAATAGGCAAAGCTACTCAAATACATGCTAGGTGTGCTGGTACACACGTGTAATCTCAGCACGCAGGAGGCTGAGACAGTAGGATCATTGTGAGTTCGAGGCCAATGTGGGCTACACAGTGAGTTCAAGGCCAGCCTGAACTACATAGCAAGACCCTGTCTCAAAAAAATAAGGGGCTGGGGATTTAGCTCAGCGGCATAAGCGCCTGCCTTGCAAGCAGGTAGTCGTGAGTTCGATCCCCGGTACTGATAAAAAGGAAAAAGACAAGAATAAATAAATAAATAAATAAATACTTCTTGCTGTACACAGTGGCACTATGATCCTAGCATTTGGGACGCTGAGGCAGGAGGACTGCCATGAGTTCAAGGCCAGCCTGAACTACAAAGTGAGACTGTCTCAAAAAAACAAAAACCAACCAACCAACCAAACAAATCCCCACTGCTTTAGGGTTCATATGCACCCATTTCTTCTTTCTGAGGTGAAGACAGTGTCAGAGAGCAAGCATCTATTACTTACAGTTCAGCAACTTCCTGTTCTTCCTCCCAGGCTTCCTTGTGTGTTAGCTGACTGCTTCCAGTACTCTTACATGTCCAAATGCGCTCACTGTACCTTTCCAAGCGGGCTTCATACTCTCTGTTGTTAGGGGCTCAGGAAAACAATACTGTACCCACATAGACAACCAATCTATTCACGTAAAACATCCACAGAAAAATATTCTACAGTATCACTTTTTTGTTTTGTTTTTTAGACTAGGTCTTACTTTGTAGTGTAGGTTGGCCTTAAATTCTTAGTGATCCTTCTACCTGTCTCCAGACTGCTGGGATCACAAATGTACACAACCATGCCCATCTCATAGTATCCTTTTTACACAGCAAATCATAAAACAGCACCCAAATGTGAGAGTGCATGCTTGTAATCATAGCACTCTTAAGAGGCTGAGACAGAAGATCACAAATTTGAGCCTAACCTAAGCAACTTAGTGAGACCTTCTCTCAAAATTAAAAAGCTGGGTGTAGTGGTGCACACCTGTAATCACAGCACTCCTCGAGGCTGAGACAGGAGGATCAACACAAATTCAAGGTCAGTCAGGTCAGTCAGGAGTTCAAAGTTAGCCTGAACTACAAGGTCAGTCAGGTGTTCAAAGTTAGCCTGAACTACATAGCAAGATGACAATCTCTAAATAAATAAATACATAAATAATGATAAACTAAAAATGACTAGAGATGCAGCTCAGGGATGGAGGCCCTAGGTTCAATCTCCAGAACACACACAAAAAAGTTTTCAATTGGTAAACCCAAGACAAGAAGATCAAGACTAAAGTCTGAATCTTTGATTACGCACATTAGAATGGTCTGCCATGTTACTAAGTACATATGTGATTTTCTCAACTCACCAAAATTTCATTTCACAAGACTCATATGGTAAGTATTAAAAATTCATGAGAGGCCGTAATCTCAGCACTTACGAGGCTGAAGCAGAGAAATGCCTCAAACTCAAAGCCAGCCTGGGCTACATGGTGACCTCCAAGTTCACCTAAACTACATAGACACTATCTCAAAAAAACACAACTTTATGTAAGTGCAATTGCTACACAATTAAAGTTGGTCAGCAAGGTTCAGTCACAGTTAATAACCTTATACATATACTAATGATCCATTTACTGATACAGCCTTTTATTCGATCTGGTACTGGTAAACACTTGCCACTTCCTAGGGTTTAAAAGTAAATCCAGAGCCAGGAATTTAGCTAAGTGGCACAGCACCTGCCTGGTAAGCTTGAGGTCCTGCGTTCAACTGCCAATACCTAAAAATTAAAATAAATTCCAGGGCTAGAGATGTATTTCAGCATGCTTGAAGCCCTGGGTTGACTCTCCAGCACCACAAAAATGAAATCCCAAAAAGTCCTACAATTACTTTTCATACAGTATTTATGTGGCATTTGGTCTCCAGTAATACTACCTACATTCACAAGATCATTTACTAGTCATTGGTTCAGTAACTCTTTAGAAGGAGTCTGAGGGAATTGAAGAGAACGGCATATAAGTGAGTGCCACATACATATATGGCAACTCTCCATGGTATCCCAATTGGAACCCACAATCAGTCAGCCACATTCAAATTCAAACGGCAAGAAACTAATTTACTTTCATACACAGCAACAGATGCTATGCAAGAAAACAAACTGACACAACTAGAGAGTTAGCTGCCAATCCCTATACTTTCCAAGTTACACATACTATACTTACTGAAATAGAAATACTGCAATAACTGCTTCTGCAGTATTCTAAATAGTAAGTATTCATTTTTTCAGTTTTGTTTTGTTTTACAGTACTGGGGATTTAATCCAAAGACTTCAAACTGGACTACACTCACAACTCATTTTTTAAATTTTTATTTTTGAGATAAGATCTCGATAAATCCCCAAATTTCCCAGGCTGGGATTGAACTTGCAATCCTCCTGCCTCAGCCTCAGCCATTATAGGTATCACCACCACAACTAGCACAAGTGTTCATTTTTAATATATAGAGATTCCTTAGTTTTCTAGGGTAATGATCAATGAAGAGGCAAAAAGGACAATGCTACATGTAATTCAAAATAACAATGTTAGCCAATATTATAAGCACCTTCATTCACTACAGATATTTCTCTGGATCTGCCAAAATATTTAATAAATGAATTTCTCTCAACAGGCATGGGGGTAACATCTAAGTGGCTAAAAAACAGAGCACTGTAGAGTAAAAACCAAGTGTCAGAAATACAATATCTGAGAATCTATAAAAACCAAGTCCCATGGTGGTACATACCCAATCCCAGTAGTGAAGAGCTTGACCCTCAAGTATCCCAAATTTGAAGTCAACCTGAGATATAGAGCAAATTCAGGGTCAGCCTGAGCTACCTACCTGGACCTCTATTCAAAAACAAACCAAAAACCAACACAGGTGTGACAGCATCTGCCTGTAATCTCAACATTTTGGGAGGCTGAAGCAGGAGCTGAAGGCCATTGTAGGCTACACAAGGAAAACTTGTTCCACAAAATAAGACCTACCAGAGAAAAGACCTATCAAAGAACAGGATGGCTTCTATAGGTATGTTACCACAGTAAGGTTTACTTTCTGTTTAAGTGTTTGCACTAGGGAAGCAGGGATTCAATAAAATAAGGACAGAGAAAGAATTAAGTTTTTAATTTAAACTGTCAAAAAGTTTAAAGTTATTTAAACTTTCAAAAAGCTTTATAACAATCTAATACATTGTTTGGCTACATTTTAAAACTCTACTGTGTCATCAAGGAGAATGTGAGAGAGAATATATAAACAAGTATGTTGCCAGGTATACAGCTCAGCAGCACAGCCTGGCTGGCAAGTGCAAGGTCTTAAGTTTAAGATTCTAGGTAACAAAAACACAACTATGTTTTTGTAGAATGTAAGTAGAAATGTATGTTGTAAAGAATTTTTTTTCTTTTTCTGTTTGAGACAAGGTTTCGCTATGAAGTTCAGGCTGATGGAACTCATTTTATAGCCCAGGCTGGCCTAGAACTTGCAGCAATCCTCCTGCTTCAGCCTCCCGAGTGCTGGGATTACAGGCATGCACCACCACACCAGGCAGAGGCAGAATTTTTATTGAGACAGAGCTTCAGGCTGGCCTTGAGTTCACTATATATCCCAGGCTTACCTCCAACTCCAAGTAGAATTAATGTGCCTATTCATCTTCTATGGATCTAGACCCACGTGGCCAACAGCTCTGAGAGGGTGACCCTGCCTATCTCAGTGATAGCCTATATCTAACACCTTCTTAGCCCCTAACTTCCCATTCTACTGCTCTTCCTACCTTCCTCTTACACTATTCCCTAACAGATATTCCCAACCTTATGGAATGGCCCTTGCATCTAAATCAGAAATTGCAGAATCATTTTCACCTTCTCAATCCTAAATGCCACAAAGAATATAATCACTGTACTGTGAACACATAGTAATAAAGATAATATTTGCTTTCAGCTGGAAAGGAAAAAAAAAAAAGATAAAAACATAAAAACAACCATCATAGTATATTTAACTTGGTCCTTTTATACTCAGTGACAAGAGCAATTATCTAAACCCAGACCATGATCCCCATTTCTTACCCAGTCATAAGATAAAAGCAATGTAATCAGCTTTCCTTACAGTCCTCTTTGATCCTCTATGCTTCTCACCTTACACAGTTTTTTCACTTAAAAAGAAAAATTTGGGGGGCACTTGAAATGGACACTTCTCAGATGAAGTAGAAACAACAATACATGAAAAAAAATGCTCAGTATCATAGGTCATTTGACAGAGGCAAATTATAACAACACAAGGTTGTATCTCATTCCAGAAGCTAAGGCCATTATCAAGAAATCAACCAATCACAAATGTTAGTGGGGCTGTGGGGAAAAAAGAACCATTGTCCACTATTGTGGCCATGTAGACTGGTGCAACCACTGTGGAAACCACTGTGGAGTCCTCAAAAAACTAGGACTAGAGGTTCCATTTGACCTACCTATTCCACTTCTTGGTATCTTTCTGAAAGAATTAAAATCATCATACCACAGCAATATACACATACTCCCATTTATAGGGACACACTTTGTAACAGCTGAGTCTTGGAAACAGCCCAAACAACCATCAACCAATGAATAACCAAAGAAAATGTGTTTTCTAATACAATGGAGTTCTAGTCAGTTATAAAGGATAAGCTTAAGACACTCCTAGCTAAATGGATGCACCTGAGACCATATTTTTACGTGAAATCAAGACATGTTTAAATACCATGTGATTTCGATGGTGTGAGAAACAGAAAGTGTCAATTAAGGAAAATAGTAAGAAAATGTTGAAATAAAAAGAGGAACAAAGGAAAGGGAAAGCAAGGAAAGGACAAAGAAAAAAGTGTAAGAAAAAAATGGAAACAAAGCTTTTGTAAATAAGTAGAAGTGGTTGAAAGGAGGGGAAGGGAATTGGTGAAAAAGCAGCAGGAAGATACAGTATGTACAGGTGCAAATTCTCTATGATGAATGTTATCATTATGCACCAATATGTGCCAATTATGTACCAATAAAATGTGCCAATTAGGAAAGTTAAAATGAAAATGAAAACTGGGGGGAAGGAAGTACTGGGACCTTTGCCTTTGGCTTCATCTCCAGTCCACTTTTGAGATAGGTTTCCACTAAATTGCCCAAACATCACTCAAACTTGGAATCCTCCTGCCTCAGCCTCCCAGAATTTAGGGACTATAGATATATGCTACACTACACTGGCCTTGGGCTTTTTGTTTTGTTTTGGTACTCAGGATTCAACCCAGGACCTTCCCACCAAGCTACATCCTTAGGCTTTGGAGACAAGATCTCACTGTGTAGCCAGGCAAGCCTTGACCTCATTACGATCCTCTCCTGCTCAGCCTCCAAAGTGCTTCGATCAGTCATTCGCCACCGCCAACTCCCAATCAACTACTAATTCTTGAAAATCTCTGAAATCTGTCTATTGTACTTCTCTACCTCCACAGCTAGTAGATGTATTCATCTGTTACCTACTAGCTAGACTATCTAAAGTGGCCATTTCATTATCCCAGTAGCTGCTGGAGTCCATGCTGAAGATCCATTCTCAACACAGCCATAGGGACTTTTG